TCAAATAAAAACATTTTCTCTTTGATAGGTAGCTCCAAAAACATTATACAAGTCCGGCGGTTCATGCGGCGTGTGCGGGGGGATGCTGGTGCAGTCTCGTACCAGCCCACGCAAACAGTCGCAGTAACGTTTGCCTCTACTCAGTTGCCAGAATACGTATATCTAGACCATTGGAGACACGAGGTCAGTCCATACGTTCCACCTGTTAAGCAGTGCCTACGTTGCATGCGTTTCGGTCACATTGCTAAGTTTTGTCGCAATAATGAAGTCTGTTCAATTTGTTCGACAAATCATAATTATAAATCTTGTACTGTTGATATAGAAAATGCAAAGTGCACTAACTGTGGAGGTAATCACGTAGCCATCTCATCCTCTTGTCCAATTAAAAAGCAACAGATCGAAGACAACAAAATTAAAAGTAGAGCTGTGCAGTATTCAGAACTGTTTAATGAAAAATCATTTCCCAAACTTGCCGAAAAATCGATAGAAACACATTTAAATAATTTATCAAAATCAGACTTATTTATGAATTTATTAGTAGAAACAATAATGAATATAGTATCTAATAAGAATGTACCTATAAATAGTAATACTATAAAAGAAAATTTACATAATACATTCAGAAAAATACCTTCCAAAAATAAAAATGGCTAACTTAAATATTGTACAATGGAATGCTCAGAGTTTAGTAAGCAGTAGGCTCATATTTACAAATTTTCTTTATGAACACAACATTCATTTAGCATTAATATCAGAAACTTGGCTAAGACCGAATCAACAATTCAAAATAAAAGGTTACAACATAGAAAGAAATGATTCTGATAATATACATAATGGAGTTGCAATATTAATTCGCAATAACATTGTTTATACTAAAATCAATACAATTTTTGATAATACTTTGCAAAATATTTGTATTCGTATTACAATAAGAAATAAAGATATATCAATTGTTAGCTTTTACAGTCCTCCAAATACTAATCCTGCCTTTAGTAAAAGCAAATTAGATTCTCTTATAAAATCTATCCCTGGTCCGATGATTTTTGCAGGTGATTTTAATGGTCATCACTCTTCTTGGGGCTGTAATTCCACAAATCCTCGTGGTCGAGATATTCTGGATATCATTGATGAAAATAACTTGATTCTTCTTAATGATGGGCAACCAACCACAGTTGGCTCTTTAACTTGGCGGCCCAATGCTCTAGATTTGACCATAGTTAGTCCTTCTTTGGCTTTATCTTGTGAATGGTCTGTTCATGATGATCCTCTCGGCAGTTATCATCTACCTGTAAAAACAAATATTAGTCTCAATGTCAACAACCAACAAGATTGTAATAACAATAATGTCATGGATGATAAGGTCACTTTTCCAATATTCAAAAATTTTAAACTGGTTGATTGGAAAATGTATCAATGTAAAGTTGAAAGTCTTTTATCTGAGTTTTGTGTTCAATCATACACCCCATTGGAGGCTTATACACTATTTTGTGAAATTCTTTATTCAGCCACAGAGTCTTTAACCCCTACCAAATTAAAATCCAACTCTACCAACAGAAAAACTGGCAAAAGACTCTCATTACCTTGGTGGAATAATAATTGTTCAGTTGCTGTGAGTAATTCTAAACAAGCATATATTACATTTAAAAATAATCCATCAGAAACAACCTATTTGGAATTTAAAAGGTTGCAAGCTTTAAAAAAACTCACCCTTAAAACTGAAAGATCAAAAAGCTGGGCTGATTTGTGTAGTTCATTCAATCGTTGTACCCCTCTTACTGTAATCTGGAAATATATGCGTAAATTCAATAAATCTTTTATTTTAAGTCATCCAGACTGTGACAGCTGGGTTTTACCTTTTCTTAAGAAATATACTCCTGATTATGTACCTACTCATCAGGACTGTTCCTACAATAGATCTCAATCAAATTCCACCAACCTCTTTTTAATAAAACCATTTACATTAACAGAATTGAAAAACGCAGTCTCCTCCAGAAGAGAAAGTGCATTTGGATTGGATGGTATCCCTTATAAAATGTTGAAAACTCTTAGTGATTCTAGTTTGCAGATATTTTTGAAGGTTTTAAATCATCTTTGGGAAAACAATGACATACCACCTTGTTGGAAAATAGATTGCTTGGTTCCTATTTTAAAGCCTAATAAGCCTAAATTGGATAAAGATTCTTATCGCCCTATTGCACTAACTTCATGTGTAGGAAAAATTTTTGAACAACTACTAAAGCAAAGATTGGAGTTCTATGTGGAAAAAAATGGCATTTTACCTTCGAATCAGTTTGGATTTAGAAGAGGTCGCTCATCTCGTGAAAGTATCTGCCAATTACAACTTGACATCCAAAATTGTCTAGTAAAAAATCAAACTATGGTGTCTGTATTCTTTGATGTTGCGGGAGCTTTTAACAGTGTCAATGTTGATGTGCTTTCTAATGAGTTAACTTCAGTGGGTATACCACCAAAACTTGTTCATTGGGTCCAAAAGTTCTTGTCTGAAAGAAAAGTTTTTGTTAAGAATAATGGTTACCTATATGGCCCACGGTTGGCTTCTGTTGGTGTCTGTCAGGGAGGAATTTTATCTCCTCTTGTTTTTATATTATATATCCGACGTCTCAACTTAATTCTGGGTGGACATGTCAAAAATTTACAGTTTGCTGATGACTTGGTAGTATATGCTTCCGATCATAAAATTACAAATTTAGTAAATAAAATTAATAGTGCCTTATTTAATCTTAATCAATATTTTACATACTTAAATCTTGATATTAACCCATTAAAATCAAAACTGCTTGTATTTGGGAAAAATAGATCTTTGATGCCTACTGTTTACTATAACAATGTTGCTATTCCAGTTTCATTAGACACAAAGTTTTTGGGTGTTTTAATAACTCACAACTTATCTTGGAAAAAATATATTGAACACATAACAACTAGGGCTAACAAAGCTTTAAACATATTAAAATCTTTAGTTTCTACATATTGGGGAGCTGATCCTAAGATCTTGTTGTTACTGTATAAGTCTTTGATTCGCAGCCATTTTGAGTATGCTTTTTTTTGTTTTGCTCATGACAACAAAATTGTAGATATCCTAGACAAAATTCAAAATAAAAGTATGCGTTTGATAACTGGTGCTTTCAAAAGCACTCCCATTAATGTTATGCAAATTGAGTGTAATCTTTCTCCCATTTCAATAAGATTTAGTTACTTAAAGGAAAGATTCCTTTTGAAGCTATTCTCAATAAACAATAATCAACTTTTAAAAAATATTTCATATTTATCACAATCACTGGCAGGTAGGCCTTTGTATATCATGCAAGGATTTCCTCAGTTCACTCAGTTTCTCGAAAATTCCAACATTTATAAGCCTTCAATCTTACCATGCTATGAAGGGCATTTTGAGAGCAAATTTCCATCAATTGACATAAATATCTACAAGGAGCTTTCTACTAAAGAGGAGGTGTTTGGTGAACTATCAAATTGGGTTGATCATAAACATATTTATACAGATGGCTCAAAAAATGATTCAAGTGCATCTTTTTCTTTTTACGTTAGCTCTATAAAATCGGTTTAGGTTACAAGATAGACAAAAATTCCTCTGTATTCACTGCAGAAGCTCTAGCAATTTTGGCTGCTCTGAAACACATAAAACACCAAAATCAAGGACATAAAAAATGGCTAATACTTAGTGATAGCATGAGTGTGCTCAAAAACTTAGAAAACAATAAATTAAGTGCAAACACCAATTACATTATTCATGCTAATAAAGAAGTCTGGTATGATCTATACAATGTTGATAATATAATTGTAAGTTTCATGTGGGTTCCGTCTCACATTGGTGTAACAGGTAATGAAAATGCAGATTATCTAGCAAAATCTATCAATACTCTAGCTACTGAAACCAATACTCAGAAGATGTCTATACCTTATACAGATTTGATTGTTCTGCTAAAGGAAAGAATGCACCAAGAGTGGCGAGCCCATTGGAATTGTATAGTACAGGTTAAAGGTAAAGGTCTATGGTACACACCTCTTTATGTTGATGTAAACAAATTGCCATGGTTCTGCAAATCAAATAGCTTTTTGAATAGAAAATTCTATACGACGATTTTTCGCTTAAGGTTTGGTCATTGTCGGCTTAATTTCCATCTCTTTCGGTTGCAAATGGTGAATAATGCTCAATGTACTCATTGCAATTCCCAAGAAGAAACCCTAGCTCACATTTTCTTTGACTGCCCATCCTTCGGCATTCAGCGCCTTGTGTTGTTGGATGAGCTAATCCAAATTTATGGCAAACATGATTTGGTCCCGCGTTCCTTGACCGATCTTCTTGTAAATAATTGTACATACGTTCCTCTGTATAATTTCATTGCAAACACTGTTGAAGAAATATAAATATTCTGCAATATCGTTGTGTATTAGATTTTAAGGTTAAATGTTCTGCATACACAAAACGCTCAGTTAAGTTTAATAGGTACCGCATGTTCTCTTTCCTTTTATTTGTTTGAAAAAAATGTTTATTTTCGTAATTTTGCTTGTAGGTATTCTTTTTCGTTTAGGTCGTCGGTTTGAAACAAGTTTGAAACGTATCAAATGTCGTTGTTTTAAGTTTGTTTTTTCTTTTCTTAAGTTTTGTATTAGGATTAAGGTATTGCATGGTATTGGTCTATGATTTATTTTTTGTGTAAATGTGTACTATAAAAAAGATATTAAATAAATATGAAATTCATATAGGATGTAATTAATTCATGATTGGACTGTCTAGTAAGAGAAAAAATTAAATGTTTGGTGTTTAAGATGTTCAATGTGCTCGGAAAAAAGCACATAATAATAGAGTAAAACAAAAAACTAGAAAATATACCGGAAATTATCAAACTGAGGAAGTTATATTGAATTTTAATAATAAAAAGAAGAAAAATAACTAATGACGAGGCAGTATGGTCCCAGACCTTAGCCTGTCTGAAAGGACAAACGAAAAAAAAAAAAAAAAAAAAACAAAGTGACTGTAAGTAAAGTGACGTGTAAGCTGCAATCGTCGGTGCCACATTTTATAATTACAAACAAGAAAAAGCTCAAAATGAGCGTTTTCAAGCGAGACAAAAAGGAAGAGGAGGAGGGCGGTGGGAACCCTTACCAGAATTTGGATAAAACCATAGTCTTACAAGAATCTAGATACTTCAACCAGACCCCGGTGAATCCGCGAAAATGCTGCCTTATTTTGACGAAAGTCCTGTATTTACTCAACCAGGGAGAGAAGTTCACGACACAGGAGGCCACGGAGGCGTTCTTCGCGACCACTAAGCTGTTCCAATCGAAGGATGTGATGCTGCGTCGAATGGTTTATCTTTGTATAAAAGAGTTGAGTGGTCTTGCTCAGGATGTCATCATCGTCACCTCATCTTTGACTAAAGACATGACTGGGAAGGAGGATTTGTATAGAGCGGCGGCTATAAGAGCCCTGTGCAGCATTACTGACAGTACCATGCTGCAAGCTATTGAGAGATACATGAAACAGGCTATTGTTGACAAGAACCCAGCTGTTAGCTCTGCTGCCCTTGTTTCTGCTCTGCATTTGTCTTCTACTGCTCCGGATCTTGTCCGTCGTTGGGCTAATGAAGCTCAGGTAAATATCATTGATTAATTAATAAACTATACTGGTAGATTTTGTACTGATTAAAAGATCCTAGCAACGTGAACTTTTAAACTTTTTGCTAAATTTTAATCATCATGATGCTATGTTGATTGATACTTATATCCTTTTGATAATTATTACCAATTTGATTTATTAGCAGCTAAAGAAAAAAAAATCTTTGAGTAAATTTTACATTTCATAATGATAATATAAAATACTATTGGGCCACCTTTGCTTCGCTTCGGTGTAGAGCTGTAGTGTAGACTATAGTTTTTGCTCTCAGGCTTGTATTTATACAAATTGATTTCTTTATACAATTATAAACCGTCCACGAAAGTTCTTTTTACTGATAGTGAAAATTTTGTTGCATAGATGAGGATTTGTTGTAATGCACATTTTTTCGTTGAACACACAAATCTCAGGTACTAATGGTCTGATTGTACAATTTTTTTTGTGTTAAATAGTGCATTGATTGAGGGAGGCTTGAGGCTATATAATATTACACTGCTATCAGTAGGAGCGGAGTATCAAAAAAAAAATTACTAGTGAAGAATCCACATAGACCTGGCAGCCAATGGGAATGCAAAACTGATAATGTTAAAAATTAAAAACATTTGAGCAGGTCATCTTTCACAATATTTTTATGTAATACACACAGGACACTGTCATTTGTGTCAATCTAGGTTTATTAGATCTCACGGAGTACCAGTACTTTAATACTAATTTCCATGTATTGTGGGATTTTTTGGATTATTTTTAAAATCTGGCACTGGGGCCGTTTACAATTTTTTGACTCTATTAATTTAAATTCCAATATCTCATTTTGTTCTAATGTGAAAACTATCCAAATTCATCCATACTGTCTTTTAGGCATATTGAAACTGCTGAGATAATTTGAATCAATTTAATTGAGATAATGAGATTGAAAGTATTTTTGGGAAATCTTTGTTTATTTCATGGTGCAAAAAAATGCAATGAGCGCAGTTTCATTACTGTTTTAGTTTATATGTAAGCTACCTGACCAATTGATTGCATCAATTAATAATAATAATTCACGATGACCGATGCCATGAACTGGCATTGAATCGATGTGTTCATCGATCAACGAGTCGTCGATTACGATCAACGTCGACGAATGCTGTCGATCGACTATCAGTCGAAATGGTGATCGCTGTTATGGGGGCCCCTGCTCTGCCTTTAATCCGGCTGTGACTTTAATAATCGTTTTTTTTTCTATTCATTTTCAGGAAGCAATTGCGTCCGACAATGCTATGGTGTCATACCACGCCTTAGGAGTAGTCGCCGGTTCGAGAAAGAACGACAAACTGTCTATGGTCAAATTAGTGACTCGCCTCGGCCGTTCTCCATTAAAATCTCCCTACGCTCTATGCTTATTGATCCGTTTAGCAGCACAACTGGTTGAAGACGACGACTCTGATTCATCCCAATCTTACATTGAATTCATCGAGTGCTGTCTGAGGCATAAGTCCGAAATGGTGATATACGAAGCGGCACACGCAATTGTAAACCTAAGGAAGACGACAAGAGATCTCGCACCAGCTGTCTCTGTCTTACAATTGTTCTGCGGATCTTCCAAAGCTAGTCTGAGATTAGCAGGCGCTAGGACGCTCGCTAGATTAACAGCGAAACATCCAACTGCAGTGGCAGCCTGCGCTGTAGATTTAGAAAACCTCATTTCAGACTCGAATCGCTCTGTTGCTACTTTAGCAGTCACCACTCTGTTAGCCACCGGCGCTGAAAGTTCTGTAGACAGGCTGATGAAGCAAATATCGAGTTTCGTGTCGGAAATTTCGGATGAGTTCAAAATTGTGGTCGTCAGAGCTATTAGACGTCTCTGCACTAAGTTCCCAAGGAAACATCAATCGCTAGCTGCTTTCTTGGCTGGTATGCTGCGTGATGAAGGCGGTTTGGAATACAAAGCGGCCATAGCAGACGCAATCATTGCCTTGGTTGAGGAAAACCCCGATGCTAAAGAGACGGGTTTGGCTCATTTGTGTGAGTTCATAGAAGATTGCGAGCACACAGCTTTAGCCGTTCGCATCTTGCATTTACTAGGTAGAGAAGGGCCAAAGTCCCGTCAACCTTCTCGATACATTCGGTTTATCTACAACAGGGTTATTTTAGAATCGGGGCCTGTTCGCGCCGCCGCCGTTTCTGCTGTAGCACAATTTGGAGCCCAACGCCCTGAACTGCTTCCAAACATAAGAGTTCTTCTAAGTCGTTGTCAAATGGATGATGAAGATGAAGTACGCGACCGAGCTATCTACTACAGCGCAATCTTGGACACAAGCGACCCGCAACTGATCAACGATTACATCGTAAACGTGCCGAAACCAAATCCAGTATTACTCGAAAAGGCTTTACGCGATCACTTAGCCACTACACCCGATCAGTCATTCGATCTAAAATCGGTGCCGTCCGAAGAGGAGCCAAAAGAAAACAAGGAGGCTATCGTAGAAATAGAAGTTCGAAAACCTGTTCAAGTGTCTATGGAAGAGTTGTACTCAGAACAACTGGCGAAAATACCTGGTATTGAGCGCGTAGGACCTCTGTTCAAGACCAATCCGCCCGTGGATCTGACGGAAGCCGAAACTGAGTACAGAGTTAGATTGCTCAAACACGTTTATGCTCGTCACGTGGTCTTGCAATTCGAGTGTATTAACACTCTAAGCGATCAAATACTTGAAGACGTGCACATCAGATTGGAAGTCCCGCCAGAATACGAGATTAAAACGGAAGTACCTTGCCAGAAATTGGGGTACGATAAGCCCGAAAGCGTTTTTGTCGTCGTCGAATATCCTTGTGCTTTCTTAGACAGTTTGGGCACATTCGGAGCGACTTTAGAATTTACTGTGAAGGATTGCGACCCGAATACTGGCGTGCCGGATCCGGATGAGGGATACGCGGATACTTATCCGTTGGAAGAGTTCGATATGGGATGTTCGGATCAGATTAGGGCAAGGGCTGCTGCTGATGATTGGGACCAGACTTGGGAGAGATCATCGAATGCTCCGCAAGCGTCTGACACTTTCGTTTTACCGCAGAACAGCGTGAATGAGGCTGCTAGCGCGGTTTGCGAACATTTGGGGTTGCCCAAAGCAGCTATTGTGGGTGAAGCTGTGAAGGAAATCCGTGGAGGTGGGATTTTCAGAGGTGGTGCTCCTGTTTTGGTGAGAGCTAGATTGGTCTCCAGTCCCGCAGGTGTCACAATGCAACTAGCCGCTAGGTCTCCGAGAGAGGATGTCGCACAACTACTTTTGGCTGCAGTCGGTTAATGACTCTTTTTATATTGTCTTAAAGGCGAGAGATGTGCTCTGGTGAAAGCCTAGATTTATATATTATGTGTAATAAAGTCGATGTTCAATGTATGTTTTTATTTTCGATGTTATTCAATTGTATTTTAGAAATCATAGACAAATAAAAAATTATATATAATTAAATATTTATAGCCACTGCTGGAATTACAATGTCTAATGAACCTTGTGTCTAACATAATAGACTTCATGACATCCTTTCAGAGGTGTAGAGGTGCTGTAAATATGAGCAGTCAAATAAGCCGATTCGAAATTTATACTAAGCAACATTTGAATGTTGTACTACTTGAATTATTTTAAAAGGCGTATATGATTAATTATAATTCGCCTGTTGGTAAGCGGCCGCCCTATACTAAAGACGCTTGCGATTCTTTTACCACTTATAATTTCTATTAAATGTTGTTATATTTTTAATTTCCAAATTGTATTAAAGCTAAGGCATTCCATTATTTTTTATTTATTGACAGATCCATTTATATCATACAGATGTACATAACAATGGACAGCTAATAATGAAAATTTGCATCAGATTTACAATTAAGTATTTTTCTCAACTAATTTATAATGGAATTCGAAGATTTTGATAAAATACTAACTGGGTAAAATGTAAAATTGTTGGTTTACGCCACGTAGTCAATATCCTGTAGGGTAATACTACGAAGAGAAAAAAATATGAAATTAAAAAAAAAATACAGAGCAGCCTGTATATATATCAAACACTAGTAATCAATGTTTGCCTCTCTGAAACTTGGTACGAGTGGATTTTTTATAGTAAAAATTTCTTAAGATTTAAATTTCCTCTTTTATTAATTAAATATATTGAAAATTGTATTCAGCGCTTAAATACTTATTAGATAAGTGATTAATATAAATAAAACGAACATGTGTTTACAACATTTTTTTTTATTTTCAATCAACTTTATAGAGATTTTTAATATCAACAAAAATAATGTCTCCATCTTGTTTTATAAACAAAATATAAGTAGGTAATAATATGATAAATATTTTACTTAAAAACTATAGTTTATATAACTACTTATGATAGTAATGAACCGTACCGTAAATTATAAGAATCAGTCAAATTTTCGCTTATATTCTACTATTTTCAATCATATACTTATTGGAATAGTTTTTTGGGTAGCCACAATATTATCTTTTATTTCAAATATAAGTGGAGTTCAGACGCGAAGATAGTTGATGCGGCAGAAAATTATGCCACACCAGCCATCTTTACTTTACCGGCCTGAACACAATCCCCTACCCCGTGGAGCCCTGGATCCTTACCCGCCTACAGAAACGCAACACCACCAAAAGTCTAAGCAATTTACACCCAATAGTTCACCCTTTTCGGTCACCCATCATACGACAGGCCATTGCGAAAATGGCTCAAATCGCATACCAAGCGCGTAATTTCCTCGCAATATTGTTTATCGTTAAAAAATAACAAAGAAATATAAACTTTTGTATATAATATGACTTGGAATGTAAAGACAGACATAAGTTGCCACATTCTGTTTACTCTATAGATTGTGAATCTTAAATCAAGCCCAATAAAGCTCAATGTCTTTTAGAGATACTGTAAGTATTGAATATTTAATCTAGCCTGACACCAAATATTTTATAGTAACAATTGCTAGATTTACAATAACAGATACATTTTTTTTTCTTTTTGTGGAACTGTTGGAATTTCTGTATAGATACGACAGTGGAAAAAAAATTGCTTACACACCACTTCGGTGCTGCTTAAAAATTTACTTAATTTCACTATTATTTAATGTTCATATTTAAGCAGCACTAAAGTGGCGTATAAGCAATTTTGTTTTTCCACTGTCGTTATAATGTTATAAACGCTAAATTTGTCTGCTAGTCTGTGCGGAAAGAGAATGGGCGTGGCGAAAAACGGAACTAACATTAAGATTTTTATTTGGCAATCAAACCCAGCAATCTGTGTAACGTCAAAGTTTTGTATTGATACGGATTTGTTTGTTGTTGTGATTTCTTGCGGTTTTTTGTATTTAATCATGTCTAAAAGGGGTAAAACCTTACAAATACGGTAGAAAAGCACTACAGCGCCCTCCAATCTAAATCCCATTCTCTTTCCGCACAGACTCTATTTGCAACGCTTTCAAACTTCAAACGGCTGATTTATTATGAATTTTTGGTACACATTGAGTTAAAGGATGACAAGCAAATAGGGTACTTTTAGGGGTTGAAATAGGAAATGAGATTTAATAGGGAAGATGCATATATAATATTTATGAAAAATTTATGATTATAATGTTAAAAAAAGCCACTGCAACGTTTTATTTTACATAATGTTGTTTTTTAACAATTATTACGAATTAAAAATACTTGAAACAGAACGTATTTTAAAACACCAATCAGCGTTTAGTGACGTCACTCCTGTTATGACAACTTCTTTGAGGTTATGGTTGTTAAAGTACATATTATTTTATGGGAATATTAATTGCGTTTTTTTTACATTTAATAAAAATGGAAGTTGTGTTTATCAAAGCAGACTCCAGGAATTTACCAAGAGTTAGTGTTGACATGGTAATAACTTTTTTTGTCCAAAGTGCAGAGTTTTTAAGTGTAGAAATGAAAGGGACTAAATTACTACGGTATGTAAAAATCGTAGTTGTGAAACTTCGTATTTTATTCAGCGGCTTCTACAAATCTTACGGAGATAATGCAATCGGCTATGTGAAGATTGTGCCACACATTTTAAAGTTTATCTAATTTTCGACGTCATTCTCCAACTGTAAAATTAAAAATATGTTATAGACAGGTTTTGTAAGTATTAGGTAGGTTACTAATGCGTTTTACGTACAAGCAGATTAATTAAGCATATAACAAGTATATTCGCCGACTTACGTCAAAGTGATCTTCACAGTATCGAATAATGGTCTTTGGAGAATAATTGTCATTTCTCCTTGCAGCTTGAAACCACTTTTTTTTCAGTTTTGGGTCAGAAGTTCCAGTCAAAAACAATTTATTTGGAAACTTTGTTGAAGTAGATTGGCACAAAACATGAGTCTACACGGCTTTTTTTCGGAATATTAGTGGTATTGTTATGATCACATGATGTTGATGGATAGTCCATTTTAAATTGTTCAAAAAAATATTTCGAAAGTCGAAAAAATATGCAAAAGTATAAAAATTTAAAGCCAGCGACGAAAAAGTACGACCAGTGACAGACAGGAGTGACGTCATCGCAACCATAGGTTCGTTTTCGCGCGAAAATTTAAATTGTCAATTTAAAACCGCAGTTTTTCCGATAAATCACAATGTTTTAATTTTTTAATATATCTGTGGTTTATTCTACATGGAATTCTTTAAAATGAAAACAAAAATAAAAATATTGCATCTTCCCTATTAGGTGTACTTAATACAATTAAAAGAAATCTTTTTCTATTGTTAATTTATGGATTTAAATGAATGATCTTAATAATGGACTAAATTATGGAGATTTACAGAAAATAATCGTCTCTTACATTTTTATTACTTATAGGTACTCAATATAACGAAAAAAAATTGCATTAGAAACACAGTTAATCTGTATTGATCAGTACCCCTAGCACGAACCATTAACGAATTCGAATAGTTTGCGAGTGCGAAATGTCAATGTGAAATTTTGAATGGAGGCGAACAGCAGCGCCACAAAGTACGTAACAAGAACTACTACTTTCTTTTTTAATGGCTCAACGGGGATATACCCACAATTCTGCCAATTTCACGTAGATGGCCACTACACGACAAGGGATTCTTAAATAAAATTATTTTTGAAATGAGAAGTTGAAAATACTATTTTAAAAATTCTGTCACACCCTATGTTGATTTAACGACCCTGTAACAATACACGACATATTTTATGGCATGCACGACAAAATATCAGTACACATTTGATAATGACATTTCGGACTCGCAAACGATACGAATTTGATATTGGTTCGTGCTAGGGGTACAGATCTAAACATTCATATTTAGAATTTGTCAAAAAATGTCGACTTTGCTTCCATATATAATTTGATAAAAAAATAACTTTTATTTTTATACTATTTTAGAATAAAAAAATACTTTTATTTATACCCTTTTGGTATATAAAACAAAACATTGTTGTATACTGTTTTAGTACTACAAAAACACTTAATTCTATTTTTTACGCCACAAAACATATTATGGTAAAAGTAATACTTTTTCTGTAAACACTTTCAGGCGAAGAAAAACCTTTTTGTACTGTATGAGTTCAAAAACCTATTTTCAGTACACTCTTTGGTGAAGGAACAGCCTGTTTTCGTACTTGTCTAGAAAAAATAAACACTCCTGTCCTTTTCTTTTGCTATGAATATTCACTCGTAAATATTCAAGTACCTTATATTAGGATCTAGAGTGCAAGTGCTGACACTGCCCCTACAATCATGATCAGTAATGGTACCCATAATTTTCAAAGCGTTATCCAAAATTAAAGTTTGTTCCAAACACTTTGTTACCACTTGTCTGAAAAGTAAAAGTGTTATATTGAAATTAGTGTTGCCGATCGTTAGTCGACTATCGATGATTAATCGATAGTCTATCGATAGCCAACCAATCGTATGACAATCGATCGGCTTTTCGATAGTATCTATACTAGAGTCTGTGTGGAAAGAGAATGGGCGTGGCGGAAAACGGAACTAACATTAAGATTTTTATTTGGCAATCAAACCCAGCAATCTGTAAAACGTCATAGTTTTATATTGATACGGATTTGTTTGTTGTTGTGATTTCTTGCGGTTGGGGTAAACACCATTTAGACATGATTAAATACAAATAACCTTACAAATACGGTACAAAAGCACTACAGCGCCTTCCAATCTAAATCCCATTCTCTTTCCGCACAGACTCTAGTATATATTGCTAATCTCTGAAATGGCTGGACCGATTTTGACGGGACTTTTATTGGCACGTAGCTGATGTAATAAGGAGAAACTTAGGCTACTTTTATTTTAGAAAAAAAAACTAAAAGTTAACGCGGTCGTAGTCGCGGGCAGCCGCTAGTTAATTAATATTTTCCATACCTGTATTTCATCATTCTCTTATCATTGGAAGCTTCCTCGCCTGCTTTGAGTAGCATATCTTTAAGTATAGTGTATTCTTTAGACTCCCTCGAAATGATACTGAAAAAATTGACAATTAAACAACAAGGATTGCTTTTACAACATAACGAACTGAAAAGAAAAATAAAGTCATTGCATTTGGAGGACAATTCCTTTTGCTGAACATATTTCAATCTAATTAATTAATCAGCCTATTAATTTCCCCACCGCTGGGGCATAGTCCTTCCCTATGGATGGAATAGGGAGATTGGGTCATGACCCACCATGCGGGCCCAGTGCGGATTGGCGGGGGCTAACGACTGCAGATGCAGCCGGGACCAACGGCTCAACGTGCCTTCCAAAGCACGCCGAAGAGCTATAATGAATGATTGAATTATCACTTTATTGTACACCATTATATTTTAAATCACGAATCGATTTCAATAAAAATAATCTTTATTGATATATTTAAAAATGGAATTATTGAATACAAAAAACTTTTAAATGATGTAATTGAATGAATGAACTGTTATTATTAAAATTTATTTATTTGTCAATTTGATTTGTGTAAACTTCTCTGTTACTTTGTTTTTGTTTGTTTTTATTTAATTTAACTTTATATGATTTTTTAATAAATACACAGCTGCTCATAACTGTACTAATTGTTAGTGGAAACTTTGTTGATGTATGTTAATCTATATTTAATTTATCTAAATGTAATAAAATATTGTATGTTTCCCAAATAAAAATAAAATAAAAAAATAAAATAAAAAAAAATTAATACTTATTTATGATAATAGTGCGGTAAGTTAGTTATTACAAACGAGTAGACGAATGTAATGTTACCATAGTCACAAATTTGTAAATACCAATCTACACGAATGTCAAACCACTTTTTTCTACACATTTGCGAGGAAACAGTATACATAATTTAAGTAATGCAGTAAATCTTTTCTAATAAGAAAATGGCGCCATGTGCGGGTGGTGAAAATTAGAACTACATCTTTCGCCTCTTTTTCTTTTGAGTATTATAGTGAGACACAGGTATAGACTAAAATCGCTTCCGAGGAGGTGCGATCAAAATTTTAAAAAAACGTAAAGAATACATCCATCCATCAACACAGCTATTTACAGTGCGATTCAAATAAAAATAGGAAAGCCAACGACCTCAATCTGTCAAATGTCGCTTGAAAAGTACGGTTTGCAAAAAAAAAACTTGGAATCCTTTTCGCTTTTTTAGTGCTCGGCTAATTCTAGAATAAAAACCAAACATTTGTAAACAAACAATAACAAATATTGGTAATTAATATTGGTTGATATTTTTTTTTCGTTTGTTGAGCTTTGGCTATGAATGGTTGATAACGTGAATCGTCAATCAAATGTCACTTTAAGTAGCGTTCAGAAACTCGATTTAAAACTTTCGTTTACATAAAGGATGCATGTTCGTATGTGATCTAGTAACAGAGCATGATTATTCATAACTACTCCGGCGGTGATGCAGAGATGAGCGAAATTGAATAGCTAGATTCTGAATAATGTTTTTTCTCACACAGTCTTAATAAATAAATATTATTAAAAAACGGTTGCTTCTTTTCTCAATCTTAGTAAATAAATTTTATTAAAAAAATCTGATGTTTTTTCTCACTTAATCTTAGTGCAAAGTTTTATTAAATAAAAACGTTTTTTGCTCACTCTACCTATTTGGTTTGAATTGACAGCTATGACGTCACAATATGGCGCCCAGCCGGTCCTATTCTTAGTTGAATGGCATTTTATGGGAGCGTGCGTAATGAATTTTATCGCACACTGAATTTTTTAATTTTCGAACAATGTATACAACCTTCGTAAATGCATTTTATGAGCAGTGTTGAAAAAAAAAACATTGACAATAATATAATCATTCTAAGCAAAAGAATATGATACATAACACAATTAGTAATAAGAGCTATTTTTAATAAATAAACAGAACCGCCATACCCATTCAGCTTCATTATTATTTTGGAAATGATACTATGCAGTTTCCCAACTTTGATGTGTAAATTGTCCCGCCACTGTTCATCTATGTCAACTCTATGGAATTCTCTAATAGATATGACACTGAAAAATGTGATAATCTTTAGAATAAATAAAGTTTCCTGAAGTGACCAAGTGCAGAAAAGAGTCACGCACAATGAGTTTAAAAACCATTGTATATATAATGCCGGCACTTCAGTACCCTTAGCACGAACATACAATCTGGGTTCCTTTAAGAGAGGCGTGAAGAAGCATTTTTGCAGGCCGGCAAGGTGAGGATGGTTGGTGTGGCAGTTTATAACTGCTGTACCAGCTATCTTCGCGTTTGGACTTTATCACCACTGAACATTAGGTGGGGTAGTCATTTGCCTACCTGACTATCTTTATATATATAATTCTTCTGTGAGTGTGTATGTCACTGAACTTCTCTTAAACGACTGGACCGACTTTGATGAAATTTTTTTTGTGTGTTCAAGGGGATCTGAGAATGGTTTAGATTCACAATTTTGTCCGCTGGACAACCCCTATTTTTTTAGGGCGGTACGAAGTTCGCTGGGTCAGCTAGTATAGTATAAAAATTACCCATTATCGAATTCGAATAGTTAAATTCGATCTAGATAAATGTACGTCACTGATTTTTAGTTCTCTTTACGTCCGTTGTGGCGCTGCTGTTGCGCAAGTTTGCATACAAAAATTTACATTGACATTTCGCACTCGCAAACTATTCAAATTCGATATTGGTTAGGGCTTAGGGTACAGGTTGGCTATACGCATTTGCTATTTGTAATCTTTACAAGTCTTTTTTTTATGGATAGGTCTGACAAATGACTCCACCCCACCTGGGGATCAATCGGCTAAATGGATTGCTATGGCTAACGCTATCGCTTACGATTTCTAATTGTTATTACTGACCGCCAAAGTTTTTCAAACGCTTCACACTCTTATTTTTTTTTTTGCATTGGTAATAACAATATTAAGGAAAATGACCGTGAAGTATTCGAAAACCTTCGGCGGTCAGTAATAACAAGAAGAAATCGTAACCGACAGCGATAGCCATAGCAATACCGTTAGGCGATTGGCCCCCTGATGTTAAGTGACGGTGAAGTCCAGACGTGAAGATAGCTAATGCATCAGTTCTACCTGCCACACCAGCCATCCTCACCCTGCCAACCTGCATGTTGCTTCTTCACGCCTCTTTTTAAGGATCCCAGGTTGTAAGAGGCAAGGGCGGATCCAGGGGGGAGGTCATTGGGGTCATGACCCCCCCCTGGGCTGGGTACAGATGGACCAAACCCAGGGGGATTTTATTTAAGTACTTTCAATCACACTAATCACACTAATATTATAAAGGCGAAAGTTTGTGAGTGTGTATGTTTGTTACTCCTTCACGTCTAAACGGCTGGAGCGATTTTAATAAAATTTGTTATGGAGTTAGCTGACACTCTGGATCAACACATAGGCTACGTTTCACTATGGGAGAATATCACTAATAAATCGCGGGGCACAGCTAGTATTTAATATACCACGACTATATGACCCCCCCCCCCCCTGGCGCCAAAGCTGGCTATATGACCCCCCCCTGGCGCCAAAGCTGGATCCGCCATTGGTAAGAGGGATCTGACCTGATCGTGCTTTATAAGGAATAAATAGGATAGACTGATGTCAAGTAAACAAATAGCAAATACGAATAGCCAAGTGAAGTGTGATCTCATAATAGTTAATAATAATTTTATTGTAGGATGTGATGTTTGTTACTCACTCACACAAAGGCTGAACGGAATTGGATGAAACGCACACATATATTTTATTATAAGGTCTGAAACAGGTTACTTTGTACAACAGAAAACAATACGTTACTGTGGGATTTTCGGGTGCGAAAGTGTGTCTTTCTGTTACCTCTGAAAGCTTGAACCGCTGAACCGTTTCAAATGAAACTTAGTATAGAGATAGGTTCAGTCCCGAGAAAGGACATAGGATAGTTTTTACTCGAAAAATTATCTTGCGAAAGGGTGAAAAGGGGAGGCAGAAGATTTTTAGGAAAACCACGCAGACGCAGTAGTTACTTACATAAAATCGTGCACAGACTTAAGGATCTGACACAATTCACCCAGAAACATCTGCAGAAACGAATGCACATGCCGGCTGTCATCCTCGAAACCGCTGTCATTCTTATCATGACAGATGCTGTCAAGTATGTCGACATCAATAATGTCATAAATGTCATTGCTAGAAATGTTTGGGTTATGCACCGAATCAACTGTAGTTGTATTCACAATATTAGCTTGTATACTGTCGTAATTTCCATTAGCAATATTATCACTGCTTTTAGAAATTTTCCTTTTGATCTCATAGACAAAACTTACTGCATCTTCAAATGACGTTTCGTTGCTGTCATTATTTTGAGACTCCTCAATAACGTAAGTTCTAAAAGAGCAGGTGTCATTCATTTCGGAATAGTCTAAAGCGTCCAAATCTATATTGTCTATGCTCTTCCTCAATTTGTCCTCGTAGGCTTGTATTTTGTGCAATTTTCTAACTACCGTGGGCCCTTTAACATTGCCACTGTCTACAGTGCTGTCGTGATTGCACATGTTCGATTCTGTTGCATCTTTTTTGTCGTTGGCAATTTTATTAGTTGAATTCGGTTCTTCGACCGTTTTAGCATTGTTATTATGTTCAATTCTTTCCATACAAAAATCTTTATCATTAGTTATATCATTATTGTCACAACTCGATTTGAAATTATCAGCAAATCCATTGATTCGGTCTACGTTTTCAATAATGTTGCCATTTATAACGGATATATCTAAATTTTTCATGGTAGCATTGATCTGATCGTCTTCAGTTTTCTTATTAGGTACAATGTTGCCAGTGGAAGATTTAATAGTGTTTTCAGTGGGTTTATTGAATGATATAGTTTTGTCACAATCTATGTTCAATAATTTTAAATTTCTACCTAATGTACGCACGATTGTAACATTGTTATTCATATTCTGTTCAGCTGACTGTAAAGGAAAGTTAGTCATGTAATTTTACATAAAGTCTAAGAGTCGATTATCTGTTCACGCCAAAAAATCTTGATCTGGCAGCTTTATTAAGACATAAGATATGATTTTGATTTGACTATGATGATATGATATGATTATGATGACATGATATGATATAAATTGACTTGATTAATTTTTAAAATGGATTGATATTGTTTAAATTTGGTTGGACCTGATGTGATTTAATATGATCAACAATTAAGTGAAAATAATGTATTTAATGTTAAGCTCAAGTTTGTTGCAACACCCCAAAGGGGTCATGTACCACTCACTATTAAGTATATATAAGACCTTATAATAAATAATGTACATGAGCAATGTGATATAAATAAATAAATAAATAAATCATTCAAAAATGTCATAAGAGAGGAGCTGGCGAACAAAACGGTATAATTACGCAGCTGTACCCCTAGCACGAACTAATATCGAATTAGTAACGTTTGCGAGTCCTAAATGTCATTGTCAAATGTGTACTGATTTTTAGTTCTCGTTACGTATTTTGTGGCGCTGCTGTTCAAGTTTCCATACAAAACTTGACATTCACATTTAGCACTCGCAAACTATTCGAATTCGATAATGGTTCGTGCTAGGGGGACTGGTCAAACTACTTTTTTTACAGTCCGGAGGTTTCGGGCCCGTTGAATTTGAATCTTAAATAATTTTCAATCCAAACCATCTAAAACAGTGTTAAAATTACAAAATTTATTAACTAAAAACCACGCCAAAAGTTCACTGTGGGTATGTCATTTAGTATATTATACAGCTCCTGTTAAATTTAATTTTATGTTATTATTACCGTTTTGTTCACCAGCTCCTCAAATGTCATGTCATGCAAAAATTCTTCGTTTGAAGAACATTTTTTGAATTCTTTTTTGATAGTGGAATGAATAAAAGAGAGAAATTTGGAGTTGGAGAAGTTATTTACTAAACTTTTGACTTCTTTAATTTATCATCTAATATATATATATATATATATATCGAGCACATTGTAAAGTATTTAATGTATAAATAAACAATAAATAAATAAATGCTCTTACCGTTTGGCTATCGAAGTTTGCTTGTGACTCTTCCGGGACGTAGTTCTTCCATGCATCGAAATGCTTCTTCAAATAGTCTATAACATCCGATCGCCCTCGAATAACTGTATTAGAAAATTATTGATTGTCACACACAAACTATATAAGGCTAACTATCATCTTATTTTTTTAAGCGTTTAACTGCTGCTTGTAGATGTTTATACTGATAACATTGTGGGCTACTAAGAAGTACTAGAGAAAATTCGACACGGCCATCAGGGCCGCGGTAGCATAATGACCAGTGCATCCGCCCGTCTGCTGCCTGATCCGCCTAAAGTTCTTTTTATATTAAATAACTATCGTCTTTGTTAAACTTTCGTAGTTTGCGCGTTCGCTCTGCGATCGTGGTAGTTAAGCAACTCTAATATTGGCCAGTAATTGGATGGGTGACCATAACTTTCTTAGCTCTCACTAGGCACGTTAAGCCGTTGGTCCCGACTGCATCTGCTGTCGTTAACTCCCCCCAATCCGCACTGGGCCCGCGTAATGGGTGACAGGTCCCTCTCTTCTATTCTATATTGCCGTAATGTAACATTATACTAATATATTATAAATGCGAACGTGTGACTGGCTGTAACGCTTAAACAACTAAACCGATTAAGCTGCAATTCGGTATAGGGATAGTCTTATTCAAGAAGTCTTCCTTTAAGGGGGTGAAAAACACGAAAACGTGTATGACGGAATTATTCCCTTTAAAAGTTCTATAAAAAAGTCCGCGACAGCATAATATGCCCATCTTTTAAGTTTGGCTCACTATAATCTTTTTCCTCAAATTAACGCTGGTGAAACTGCAGGGTAACATAACTATAACAGTTAGTTACAATTGAAGGTACTTTTTTGTAGATATTGATGTCCTCTATAAAACTTTAGTACATCACAGTGCTCTACTGTCAATGACTTCCGCAGCGTGAGCGATATAAGGTTATTTTTTGGTGTTTTTGACGTGACGTCTTATAATTCGATGGAGCCGGCTACACGCACGAAAATACATGACTCATACAGCGTCACCTCGCTCTGAGGCGTTACATTTAAGGCTTGAAGTGCAAACGAGCGACAAAGGGGCACAATCGGCCTCCGCGTTCGGCAGCGTTCGACATCTGTCTCTCTCCTACTTGAGTGAGCGATGCGTCCGCGTGGACAGCTGCTATACAATAATACATTTACATGGTTTCGTCAAGTATGAAGTGCAGTGAAAAGTGAATGTGGTGTCAATTGTTTATAGCAACGATAATTGCGGCGATAAAGGTAATGATTCTTTTGATATTAAATATATGTTCAGTGATATATTGTCGAATATTCGTGCTTTCATCATTAAAATAAATAGCATCGGTCCGCTAGTGCAGCGATTGTAGGTTATGCTATAATTGACAAAACTATAACAATAAGTTAACAGAACTATTTCTCGATGAGTAAAAAATCAATTGCTCTACTATTCGATCGAAATAATTATCGAGCGTAGCTATGATTTTAAAAAATTAAAACCTAAATGTTAAATCTTACACATCCACATAAAATAACAAGGTTGGACCAGCCAGCCGTCAAAGGGTACAATTTTCTCCTTTATCAAACTAGGCGGGCTTTTAAAAAGCTAGAGTTACAAAAATTTTAATGATGTTTCCAAATTTTAAATTTAAGATTCGTCCTATTCTCAACAGAATAACACAAATTGTAAGAAGTTAAATATCACACATGTTTAAAAGTTGTAAAACAATTGCTCAAAGCACATTCATACTTGTAAAAACTACGTACATTGTAAAAAAGCGTTGTCACGTTCAACTATCGTCAGTAAATCGACTTTACAGACAACCGATGTTTTTTTCACACCCTGGATTACTTTATCGAAGTTTTCATACCCTGGAACCCTAACTTTTTTGAAAAGATTCTAAGCCCATTTTCATAAGGAATAATATAGGATTCTAAAAGTGAAAGAATTTTTCAAATCGGTCCAGTAATGTCGGAGCTTATTCAATACAAACAAACAAAAATCAAATCTTTCCTCTTTACAATATTAGTATAGATGTATGAAAATTAATTCTTTAGCGATAACAATCAAGGAGGTATCAGTCGAGAGCGGGTATCAATTTCCAGTACAGTATATGTATTTTTGCATTTTATGTGTATGTTATGTGCTGTCAAGAATAAAAACATTTTTCTTTCGACCTGCGTGTCGCCGACTCGAGAGGTCCCGGGTTCGAATCCCACGTTTGTATGGAGAAAACATTGACCGCCTCCCCTCTTAGGATGTATACAGAAAGAAACCTGGAAGCCGACCAGTTCTTATAGGAACCGGTTCGCGCAGGTAACCGGCGCAGGCATTTCTATGGACCAGCGCCGATAAGCGCCGAATTTCACCGACAAGTTCCGACAATCTTATCTTAAAACGGAGGTCTCTCATGGATGCAAAATTTTTTAATTAAAATATCTTGAGTAACAAGATTCAATGTCCAAAGCTGTTAAATCTTGTCAATTTGAGTGTTCCTTCTAGAATGCCTTGTAAGCTAATCACGCCACTCTGCCCTCCTTTAAGAAGAACTGTTTTAGGCGCTAACTCTAACTGTTCTGAGGAATTTTTCGGATTATTTCCAGCTGTTGCATTTCGCCATCGTACATCGCAACAAAAATTTCATCCCCATCATCTTGATACGTGGCTATCCACAACCGTGCGTTTTTGTCGAAATTTTTTACCACGTACGACAAAACTGTGGAATATATTGTCGCCAGCAGTGTTTCCGGACCAATACGACCCAAAAACCTTTTTTTGAAGGCCTAAAGCGTACTCCTTGCTTAAAGGCCTGGTGTTGCTAGTGTCCATGGGCGACGGTGAACACTTACCATCAGGTAGACGGTTCACCTGCCCCCTATAACATAAAAAAATGCTGCTCGTATGCCCCCTATAACATAAAAAAACTCTCCTAATGCGAGATTCTATAAAATTTTGAACGGCTTTAGTGATAAAATTGATTTACACTCTGATAGTCCCAGTGCAGTAACTTCAGCCAATATTAGGAATTTTAGATCGTTTATTTTTGCATTGACCCTTTTTTTGGACAAAATAACATAAGTAAGGGTAAATTAAGTAAAATTTTAACATATACTATTTGATATAGATATGGTAAATGTGGTGTTTATCTATAATTAATTGTAACATTGATATAAGTGTCTCCGAGTCTATAATTGTAATTGCATCTATATATATAAAACTCAAAGGTGACTGACTGACATAGTGATCTATCAACGGACAGCCCAAACCACTGGACGGATCGGGCTGAAATTTGGCATGCAGAATGTTATGACGTAGGCATCCGCTAAGAAAGGATTTTGATCAAGTCTACCCCCAAGGGGATAAAATAGGGAATGAAAGTTTGCATGAAACTTTGTCAATTTAAACCGATCGGGCTGAGACTTTGCATGCAGGTATAAGAAGAATCATAGATGAATATCATTGTGTATAATACAAGTCTGAGAACAAAAACTGTAGTCTACACTTCAGCTCTACACCGAAGCGAAGCGAGGGCGGGCCGCTAGTAAATAAATAAAAATAATCTTCGACACGTGCTGGTCAGCGCTGGCACCGCCCTTTGAAATTAATGAACAACTACGCTTCAATCTGCTTCCTTTATGCAACTGTTACCAGTTACCAGTAAGGACCAGTCGGCTTCTAGCTTTCTTTCTGTATACGGCCTTAAAGTTAATCAAGTGAGCGGAGGTATTACATAATTTGATCCCCCCTTCCCCTTTCCACCACCGGACAACCAGGCGCGGCGAGGGCTTCCACCCTTATGTTGTCCAAGTTCCTCCCATTCGCACGAAGCGATTTGCTTCGGCCTTCATTATGCGAACGGCTAGGGAGTGGAACTCCTTGCCGAGGTCTGTTTTCCCGGACCAATAGGCCTTGAAGATGTCCAGATTAGGACATCTTCAAGGCCAGAGTGAACAGGCATCTTCTAGGCAGGCGTGTACCATCCTAGGCCTCATCATCGCTTCCCATCAGGTGAGATTGTGCTCGATGGCGCAAGTGGTTAGCGCGATCAGCTGCGATCGTTGAAGTTAAGCAACTTTCGCAGTGGTCGGTCATTGGATGGGTGGACCAAAAATTTACTATCTCGTGTTCCTCCGTGCTGCGGAAGGCAGGTTAAGCTGTTGGTCCCGGTAGCATCTGCAGTCGTTAGCACCCACCAATCCGCACTGGGCCAGCGTGGTGGGTCATGGCCCAATCTCCCTATTCCATCCATAGGGAAGGCCTGTGCCCCAGCAGTGGGGACATTAATAGGCTGATGATGATGATGATGATGAGATTGTGGTCAAACGCATTGCCCATTTTACATAAAAAAAAACTCACAGTTGCGCCTCATCATTGTCTCTTCCACGACTTCGGCCCTGCTAACCACTGGAGTGTGGAAAGAGAGCACTGTGACGTCATCAGATGGATTCTGCATCTCTTTCAGTAGACAATTGAGTGTGTTATATGCTTCTTCCAATTCTTCATAAGACGGTAGTTCAACCTATGACGTTGGTAAATATAGAAGATAATCAGCTTTCTGCACGTCTTTATATGAAATGTTATCATGCAAAATTAAAATATCACTACTTAAAAAGATAAAACAGGAAAAAATACGGACGATTCAAAAGGGTTGTATTATGCTTCCAATAGGGTATTTCACAGTATTAAAAATAAAGTGCCAATTGTTAGCATCTGTGTTTAGAATGAATAATGGCGGGGGTTTTTACTATTTTTACAAAAAAATATTCATAATATTACTAAAACCCACGAAAGAGATAATAGTTTTCTTATCTATTGTCACGTGACCCAATACGCTTGGGATTGGCGGAACCTAAAATAACATCACACGCAAGTAAACTTACATTGTATCGTTTGACGTTTTAATAACAGTCGTGTGACGTCACACACTAGTAAGACGTATATTCTCCATAGAAACGTTTTCGGGGCAACTTGAAAATGGAGTTTTTGATTTGGTTATTTTTACTTAAATACACAACAGAATGATGAATATCCACTTTTTAGAAACTCCATAAACATTAGTCAATAAGGTGAGATCGTATTCTAAAACTTGTCAAATACCCTATTTCAAAATAGATTTTTTAAGTGCCTTTTTGGTACCTACGAAGGTTTTTTTTTTGTTTGAGGTAATAAAATGAGTGAATTACGTAGGTAAGCCTTATTATATCTTTAAGTAGGTATAATGTAGTATAGCCATGCTAAAAGAACGAAATTCGTATAATAAAAAAATAAAAAAAAAGCTTAAAATTAAGTGCCCTTAAGCATACAGAAAGAAAAAAAAATGGGGATAGTAAGCATATTAATCAGTGTTGTCGTTTTTTATATATATGTGTGAATGTGTGTATGTCTTTCTGTCTGAAACAGTGTCACGTTGAAATTCTTACTCACCTTCAGTGTTTGTATGAGCACCGTGCCGCATTCAAACAGTTTCATAAATTCAATTGGTGTCATTGAAGACTTCAACGTACCTAAACATAAAATATTACATGCTCATTGTAAAATCGTTTTGTACCCGATCGCGGAAGTTAAGCAACTTTCGCAATGGCTGACCATTGGATGGGTGAAGAAAAACTCTTGTTTCCTCCGTGCTTCGGAAGGGACGTTGAGCCGTTGGTCCCGGCTGTATCTGTAGTCATTAGCACCCGCCAATCCGCACTGGGCCCGCGTGGTGGACCACGGTCCAATCTCCCTATTCCATCCACAGGGAAGGCCTGCCTGGCCTGCAGTGGGTACATTAAAAGGCCGATCACTTGAAGTGCCTTCCGAAGGAGCTCGAGGTAGTAAATTTTTGGTCACCCATCCAATGACCTACCACTGCGAAAGTTGCTCGACCTCAACGATCGCAGCCGAAAGCCCTCACCACTTCTCTTAGCTTCTAGAAATATTAAGTAATAATTGAGCGAGATTAACTGGGCCCGCGTGGTGGATCGCGGCCCGTTCTTCCTATTCCAACCTTAGGGAAGGCCTGTGCCCCAGCAGTGGGGATATTAAAAGGCTGATGAAGAGAACACCAACGATTTATCTCTTTCCAGATTTCTCAATTTCATGTGAATAATAAAAACAAAATCTCGTTTTAAAAGACTCCATAACGTAATAAACAAGACCAGTAAAGAAACCAATAATCAAGTTACAAAAGTTTTGGTAGAGTTGAATTGTTTTCTAGTAAAAAATAATTTTCTATAATTCTAATCACAATTACAGCCTACTTGTAAGTAGTTTAACTAACTAATTTTAGTAACTTATGTTTTAATAACTTTCGCTCAGGAGAGAGGGGGGGGGGGGGGGGGGGGGGGGGAGGGGGAAGGCTATTCACTTAAAATCTGACGATGCCCCTCACCTCACTAGGTCCAAACCCGGTGACGCTGTAAAGGTCAAGCGACCAACAGCATACACACTCAAAAAACACGGTTCCAACCAGTGGCGGCGCTAGACCACATGTGGACGTCGGCGACATCAAGTTCGCGAGGCCTATTTTATTTCGCAGTAAACACCGTTAAATTAAGTGAGCCAAATTATAAAATAACGTATGAGTAAACGAGTTTTATTGTTGATTATCAAATGATGACGAAAAATAATTACAAACATAGTTTAATTACAAAAATAGTATTGCCAGACAGACGATTCTGAATACCCGTAAAGTACTACTCGCTCCCATCACGCACGTGTTCGAAAATAATAAAAGTCATTATCATCTGCTTAGCTTTTTCCCCGAATTGTTCGGGGTCGGCTACCTAAGCCAGGCCAGGAGAAACGAAAATAAATAGGTAACTTGTAAAAATTTTTTGCGAAGCCCCCTCAGGCGCGAGGCCGTCGGCGGTGGCCAACGTCGCCGACGCCTAGCGCCGCCATTGGTTCCAACTAGCGTGGGCGAGACAACGGCACTAGATGAGGCCACGGGAACTTCCGGAGACTTCCGCGACCTCACCAGTGAGTCGATCGGCCACACCCGTCTCCCCCCGGAAGAGGGAGTGTTGGGGATGCCCCGGAGCATCATGGGCATCCCCAGCCATCAGCAAAGACCTGTGCAAGGCAGGATCTGAACCACCCAAGTCCAAACCATGCAGGGCTGTGCCGGGAAAGAGCCTAAAGACGAAGGGGGGAACCCGTCTCCTTACCCTCACCTAATGTTTAATTACGTCAACTAATGTTTTTAATACCTAAACTATAAGTAGATCAGGTTAGGTATAGCAATTAAGGAAGCAAGAAAAAGAAATTAACTTACCTATCTTGGAGCTATTTGCTAGAAGCATGCTATTAAATTTTTCAGCCAAACTACCCACTTTAGCTCGGGAGCCGTACATTTTTTTTACACTCTCGACGACGTCATACAATACCCAGGGTGGGAATATATTGTCTGTGATCACTATGTGACGCTGCGATAAAGTCAAAAACATATTCATAGTTAAATTTTTGAATTTTTTAAGCTTTCAACTGCTAGATGTTTAAATCTAAAATTTTACTAGAACAAATTCCGCGCGGACCAGCGTAGCAGAAGGGACTCGAAACCGCACCCTTATATAATACTAGAGAAAATTCGACACAGCCATCAACGCCGCGGTAGCATAATGGTCAGTGCATTCGCCCGAATAGCGGAGGGTGCTGGTTCGAGTCCCGTCTGCTGCCTGGTCCGCGTGGATTTTTCTAGTTAAATTTTCTTTAGATTATAATATTTATAGTCAATTATATTATTACTTAAATGATTAATTGCAATTTGCAACCATAATGGTGTCGATCCTGGTATAATTCTCTAAACTTAATACTAAATACTTACACAATCCAGAGTCAACTCATTTATGTCCATGTTTAATGCTAAACCGTATTATTAAATATATAATCATAATAATAATATATAATATTTGACGACCTCCGTGGCCGAGTGGTTTGTATGTCGGGTTTCATGGTGTCGCCGACTCAAGAGGTCCCAGGTTCAAAACCCGGTGGGGGCAGATGTGTGTGTGATGAATACGAGCATTTGTACTCCAGTCATGGATGTTTAATATAAAAAGATTTTTTTAAAAAAACCCCAACCCATGCGGGGATTTTATGATTCACTCTAGCGCGGCAGAATAACATAAGGGGCACCCTTACACCTTGTGAAGTACTCCTATAATACTTGAGCTCTCTATGTAGGGTCGAACTAACTAACTAAATTAATTCTCTTGTTTCATTAATGTTCGTTCGGTATAGTACTTGTATCTATTTAACTTAAAATAACTAAAGACCCCCGGGATAGAATTTGATGCGCTTTGGCACAGATGATCATGACTATAATACCTTTCAAACAAATGTAGTTTAAACCGTGGCGGACGTGGGTGCAGCGTCCATACATTTTTGCCCAATGTCCTTTAGTAATTTTAACACTGTTTTAGGCTGTTATGATTGAAAATTATTTGAGATTCAAATTCATCGAGCCCGAAACCTCCGGACTGTAAAAAAAAGTAATTTGTCCAGATGCGTAATTATACCGTTTCGTTCGCCAGCTCCTCATATAATTTCACTAATCTGTGACATTCCAATGCCCCATGACACACCCAAGGTTATGAATCCATTGTTAAATATAAAATTAGATATACTCGATTACTCTACGTCATATATAATCATTTTAAGTAAATTATTAGCGTGAGATAAAAATGCATGATCCAGGAATTGATCAATATTATTTTTCCACTAATCTCAGTATTTGATATCTATACATATAATCCAATGATAGGAAAGTCAAAACTGTACATTGAATATTTGTTTAAAAGAATACTTTTAAGTTTCAAAATTCCCTATTGCTTTCCCTTAGGTCATCAGAAAATCTGACCCTTACAATGCCTGTTCACCGCACCAGCTATTATGACCATTCTTTTGCTGTACAAGCTGTTCGGCTTTTTAACTCGTTGCCTACTAATATCAGACGCGCTCAGTCTTTGAATATATTCAAAGACCAGCTCAAAAATTTCTATCTTTCGCAGTGAATCTGATTTTACTGTGTAAACTTTTTATCGTATATACACACATCAAAAGTGTCTAGGGATCAAGCATTTTTATGCGGATTTCTTGAGATTGAGATGTGGCTTTGTAATAAATTTATGATTTTATAAATTTATATGGATCCTTTTTGGTGCATTTCATAATTTGAATCAGGAACTGTGAATCAAATTCGAGTAAAAGATGAAAATCAGCTGTCAATATTTTCCCTATAAAAACATACAACGCATTGAAGACATTATTAGTGCTACTGTTTCCCTACTACTGATTAAAACCAACGTTATTATGGAGCGGCGACGTCATTTAAGCAGGGAAGAAATGCTCAGAGCCGTGGGAATGATAGAAGCTGGTTCCCGGCAACGTACTGTGGCTTTAGCTCTGAATACAAGTCAGAGTGTTATCAGTCGACTTTGGACACGATACCGAAGCACTGGTACCGTGGCTGAGCGCCATGGAGGACGGTATCGCTGCACCACACGGAGACAAGACCGATACATTCAAATCTTAACTCGAAGAGCTCCAACAATAACCGCCATGATGTTAGCCGTGAGGCTTCATCACTCTTCAGGGAACTTAATTAGCGACCAAACAGTCAGAAACCGCTTGCATGAAGTGAACCTTCATTCCCGAAGACCGCTACGGGTACCACCTATAGCAATGCACAATCGTAGGATTCGATATCAATGGGCTCTTGAACACAGAAATTGGGCAGAAGAACAATGGCGTTTCGTGTGCTTTTCTGATGAGTCTCGTTTTGGTATGAGACCGGATACAAGACGTATACGACACTGGAGAACCCCTGGACGCCAACAGCGATTAAAATCCTGCCAGGAAGTCCATCCTTATAGTGGTGGAACCATCATGGTATGGGCGGGTATTTGGATCGGCGGAAGAACTGAGTTGATTTGGATCAGAGGCAACCTGAACGCTCAAATTTATGCTGAGACGATTGTATCAGACGTCATCGTTCCTCTACAAGTGCAAATCGGTCCCTTATTTCAGTTAATGCATGATAATGCACGACCGCACACCGCAAGAGTTGTAAGACAGACTCTCGCCGCAGCTAACATCAATGTCCTGCCCTGGCCTGCTCAGTCGCCAGACTTGAACCCGATTGAGCATGCATGGGATATGCTACAGAGAAGAGCTCTGCCGAATATGGAGGGTATCCAGTCGCAAGAAGACCTTTTTTTGTTGTTGCAACGAACATGGGCGGCCATTCCACAGCGTGATTTGGATGAACTCATTTTGAGTATGCCAAACCGATGTTCTTGTGTTGTTAGTGTTCGCGGTAGAAATACGGATTATTAATTGTTTAAGTTACCCAATAAAATTTTAGAGAAAACTGTTATTTCAGTCTTTTTTTCGAACTTTTGTGTTAGTGGTTCAAATGTCAAAAATCCCTTTATTAGGAAAATGGCAAATTTCTTTATTAATGCAAAGGTGACTTGGTTTATCGTTACTGTGACAAACGAAAACACTTTATTTGATGAATCCTTAAAGAAAATTTTAATTAATATCAATCAGGAGAAAAGTTATTGCAAAAATATATGTTGATCCCTAGACACTTTTGATGTGTGTATATTATGTTTATGTATGTGTATGTATATAATGTGTAAGTATGTTTATATGTTATTAAATGCATATGTATATGTATGTATGTATATATATTTATATGTCTAATTAGGATACTTAGTTTGATGTAGATTGTATGTATGGATGTGACTATTTATTCCAAGCCATTTAACACCCCTATGGTCTCTGTATAACTTTTCATACTCAGTGGTTGTCTGGAAGAAATCGCTCTAAGCGATAAGATCGCCAATTATAACGCTTTTGTTAATATTATTGTTTGTGAATGTTACGTAATTATGTATTTGGTGTTATAATAAAGTGTTAATCTATCTATCTATCTAATACTTGGGGTGTGATCTACAATCGATACCAAGCCAAAAATATAGTTTTTAGAATTTTTGTCTGTTTGTCAGTATGTATGTCCGGGATAAACTCAAAAAGTACTAGCATGGATTTACTTCAAATTTAGCACGAATATTATTAAGAAGTCGGGTCATCATATAGGCTACATATTATCACGCTATCACCTACGGGGAACGAGCAGTGAACCTTTATTTGTAACTAACTCCACGCTTACGAATTCGTGGGCGGCCGCTAGTCATAATATAAAAAATATATAACTTACCAACATCAGCTGCGTGAGAGCATCTTCCAAGATTTGCGTGAACGAGCAAATCCATTCACTCATTCTTTCCCTTATGTTGTTCGTCATAAGGTCGCTTTTAATGCTGAAGTCTTTTAAAAGGCCACTATCTCCATCCTTTTCACTCCCAAATTTTTTAGTATCGACACTCAAAGTAGGCATATCTGCCATCTTGGTATTTTTAATTTGGAATTTTGACTTATTCTCATTTGAAATGCCACTATGTCCATCCTTTTCACTCCCAAACTTTTTGGGATCACCACTATTTCCATCCTTTTCACTCCCAAACTTTTTGGTATCAACATTCAAAGTAGGCATTTTAGTATTATGAATTTGGAATTTAAACTTATTCTCTTTAGAAAGGCCACTATTTCCATCATTTTCCCTCCCAAACTTTTTAGTGTCTACACTCAAAGTAGGCATTTTAGTATTACGAATTTGGAATTTTAACTTATTTGCTTCATTGATTTTATCTTTGCTCTGTTCAATTTTGGTCTTTAAGTACATAGCTTTAAGGTTCACGCCTATTTCATCGGCAGCCTTTTCGTAGTTCAGAAGTTTGTTATCTTTGTTTTGGATAATTTCGGGGGTTTTCTTACGAGTTATGTCAATGAGTCTATCGCTGTCTATAGGTGAGGTGTTAGCATCAACTTTCTTAATAGCTATAAAGTCATTTTCAGCGTTTCTAACTGAAAACTTTTGGAGAGTGTTCAAGGGAGTTTCACTATTATTTGTCAAGGCATAAGGGACAGAATCGCTCAGCAGGCACGATTTTGCATTATCTGGTGATGTTTTCACTTTTTTCAGGGCGAATGTGATTTCGGGCGTTTTTTCTTTAGTGGCTTTGAGATCATCGGTTTTGAGACAGTTTATTTCCAGAGATTCAGCTTCGTCGAATAGTTCTGTACTGTTTGTTATGAATACCTAAGAATCGGTAATAAAGTCTCTATTTAAATATAATATGCGATAAATATAAAGAGGAAATAATATATGTTTCTATGAAATTAAACGAATAGGTTGGTATGAAATAATTGTTGAGGGAGTTCGTTTTGAATACATGAAAAAATTTCGTATATGGCAGAAAGGATACCTTTCTTGAATGGGATAAGGATTATAGAATTTTAAAATTAGACTTTGAATGTTGTAGAATGTGATAAAACATGTGGTAATTACCACAATTACTACATATTTAGTTTCATATGTGTTGCTCGTTTACGAATGAGTGAAATTGGCAAAACTAGGCGAAATCTTGAAAGTAAGGTTAGGGTCTGCCTGGATATCTCTGCTGCAACACTAATCTTCAAGACTTCACTTCAACGTGACATCAGTACCCTAAGTACGAGTTTGAGCTCACGTAAATTATGTTTCTATGTCCATTTTGGTGAAAGTAACCAAATATAATTAAAATTGAAGAAGACGCAAATTATTTAATGATAGAATTTAAACACTGTTTATTTGTATTGAAACGAAAACAATAAAATCAGTACCCTTAATATGAGTGCCAGCTCACGAAAACTATTATAGTTTTCGTAAATATAAAACTCGTACTGAGGGTACAGGGCCCAACCAAGTCAATATGTGTCACTGACATATGAAAAGATGCCAATTTTGAGAATTATTTTCTTAAATGTTTATAAAAATCAGACAGGCAGTCCGTATCTTACTTCAATGATAATTTATGTTATGAAAAAATGGTAATATTTTTACGTCGACATATTTAATAAATTGTCGGTATTTCTTGACATGAGGTCGGAGCTATGTCAGATTTGCGTTACAATTGTAGTGTCTTCTTTGTTAGCTAAAAATGGCTCTCCTCGAAAGCTTGAAACGATGAGTTCTTATACAGGAGAGTTTATAAAGAACAAATAAATTTATCCTTTGATATCACTGATTTTGCGTAGAAAAAAAATATGTAATAGACCCCACGATATCGAAAACCCAAGATACAGCAACAACACGAACAAAATCGTGGCCGAAACCTGTCCAAAATGTACATTGGATGATCTATGAAGTTCCGTAAGATGATCGCGTAGCCAAAAAAATATAAGGCATTATTTAATCATTGAAAGTCATCTTTAATGCATACTTTATAAGGTCTAAATTAAAACGCATGCGTCAAAGAGTTATGACAGTTTGAAATGCAAGCTCGTAAAATTTTACGACTTATTGACGACGACTATACGCGGAAGAATAAAGACTTTATTTCTTTAACTCTACGCGCAATTCTAAATGCGCTGTTAGCATTATAGCAGGTACGGACTGCGAGGAAAAGAGACGGCTACATAACCATGCATTTGAATATCACAAATATTTTCTATATAATCAGTTTATAGTAAGTATTAGAACAAAATTTGCTTTAAATGCGTTAAAATAATAAACATTGATTAGATACCTATCGAAAAAGGACACTTAACGTACTATAAGTATTTTTTTCGCATTTTTTAACGGAGCTCTGCGGCATCTTGACTTTTCAACGGTCCGCGCGTGACTGTGAACCAACAAGTGCTTGAGTGGTGTTCAAGCACTTCTTGTTTGGGACACATTTTGAGCGCACGTGGTGTATCTAGGGTATTGAATATCGTTGAATAGACCACCCCACAACAAATAAGACTTGGTGAAACAGGGCACAGGTGGTATACAGGAATTTGTAAAACCATGTATTTTTAAAGAAATTAGTAATTATACCCGCGCAGACCGCGCGGATAAAGAACAGATTTGTAAATGGCATCCGCTAGCATGCTATCTCGCTCACAATCTATCGCTGTCTATACTCATACATTGAAGTACACGTTGCAAAAAAATAATGATAATTATCAGTGTTAGCAAACAACGATATTGTCATTGATGTTGATAATATTGTTCCGGAAATCATACATAATAATTTTAAATTTATCCCATGTTTTATTTTTATCTTTAAAACATTTAACTGCTTGAGTCCCGTCTGCTGCCTGGTCCGTGCAGAACTTTTTCTAGTTAAAAAATCTTTAGATTTACCTCATGTTGTTTTTTCCTTCATATCTCTTAAATAATAAAAAGAAATTGAAACTCCAGTATTATATTTAACCCTTGCTCCTAATTTAGTTTATTAATATCTTTTGTCATTATTATTAGTATTGTGGCGGCGAAATCTATATGCCCCACATATATCCAACAGATGGAGGAAATAATCACTCGCCTCCTCAAGAGATGGCGCTACCGACGCTGCGATCAATACGTATGGAAGCCTGCATCGCGCAAGCGAAATTCGAATGCACACATCCATATATACAATGCCCGTCACCATTACCCAGCTCGGAGGAAGGTCTTCCCCTTTGGCCTTCCCACAGTATCATTAATTAATTAATTATAAAAAATAATAATTAATAACCAACAATGTCAGTAGAAAAAAAGCGATTTTTGAGTACTTATTTTGCCAACGTACCATAAGTACAAGCCGCCATACTCAAATCTATTCTTTATCTGCGCGGGTAATATATGTATCTATGTAAAATATACATCTTATCCACATATGAGGTAATCGATATTAAGATGTTGCTCGTCCGATCTGCGATCGTGGAAGTCAAGCAACTTTTGCAATGCCTGGTCATTGGATGGGTGACCAAAATTTTATTATTTCAACTGCGTGCTTCGAAAGGCACGTTAAGCCGTTGGTCCCCGCTGCATCTGCAGTCGTTAGCACCCACCAATCCGCACTAGGTCTGCATTTTGAATAATGGCCCAGTCTCCCTATTCCTTCTATAATATATATATGTATACAGGGTGGAAGTTTTGAATGCCACCCCCAGGGGAAGTACTCTAAATACTGGAGATAGATAATGTTACTCAAAGGAAACATTCCTTTATTTTTAAAAAGAAACACAACTGCATTCACAGTTTTTCGAAAATTTGCTTGCCACACTCGGGAATCGAACTGGCAAAAATTCGGAAAAATGACATCCTGTATTTTTAGGGCATTGATCGATAGGGTCAATCATAGGGATCATATCTTACTAACAAACTTAGTAATTTAAATTAAAGGAAAAGCGTGAAATCTTAACTTAACTGAATGGAATAAGACTAAAAGCAGTTTTATCCCACCATAAAATCATTAATTCATTCAAATAACGAATAAAGAATTTTTTGCACATGTCTAAAATGCAGACTAAAGAGTCCAGTAAGGTACCAGTCTCAGGGGGGGGGGAGGGGGGCACCTGGCATTTTTGTAACACCCTGTATACAGGGTGTTACAAAAATACAAATAAAGCTTGAAGGGCGTTGAAGTACATCATATAAGAAGTCTTCTCTAATTTTCTTTAAATATTTGCATGAAGTTTTAACTTTTTATAAAAACAGTTATTTTTAATGATCCTCGAACTAGTGACGTGTCTTAAAATGATCGATATTTTTATTAACCATTAAAAATAACTGTTTTTATAAAAAGTGAAAAGTTCATGCAAATATTTTAAGAAAATTAGAGAAGACTCCTTATATGATGTACTTTAACGCCCTTCAAGCTTTATTTGTATTTTTGTAACACCCTGTATATATAATAATAATAATAATAATAATCTTTATTTCTTCTTCCACAATCTACAAATTCCATGACAACTTATTATACTTTAATTCTTATATAAAAACAGTATAAGGAAGGTCTGTGCCCCAGCAGTGGGGAGATTAATAGGCTAATGACAATTGTAAATCACTTACCAATTCGTATTTATTCCTTTGGACTTGAGAGCAAATTTTCAAAACGTCACTTACATCACGAGTATCGTTTTGAATATCAATTTCGGGCAATGGTACTGGAACAAATGTTTGTATTATAGATCGTCATGCCCGGGAACACATTTGATATTTGATGGAATAATAAAAATGCTATTTGGTACAGTTAGCAACACATCAAATACCGTCATTGTTGCTCAAGGTATAAGTAGCAGAATAGTCTGACGGATTCGAGCTAATATACCTATACGGCAACGCCATCTAGTTTCGAAGTGCCGAAACCTAAAAACAATATGCGAAGTTTGCAAACTATCTAGTTTCATCTAGAGTGACTAGACGGCGCTGTTGTAACACCCTGCCAATATTCATTATTAAATGAGGCCATAAGAACCATAGTGGCCTAACTCATTTTTTACAATATTGAGTTTATGATTTTTTCCAGTTCAAATTGATCATTTTGATAGAACCACAGTGGTCTAAAAGTGATACAACGAATATTCACTTGATAGCAGCATAATCACTGTTACGGTTTTTAGTCTGTGATCTAAATTTGAGGTGCCATACTGGGGGCCAATCGCCTAACTGGATTGCTTTGGAAAACGCTATCGCTTACGATTTCATTTTGTTATTTCTAGCCCCCTGAGGTTTTCAAATGCCTCGCGCTCTTTTTTTTCTTTTGCATTGGTAATAACAATGTTAAAGAAAATGAGCGTGAGGTATTTCGGCGGTTAGAAATAACAAAATGAAATCGTAAGCGATAGCGTTTTCCAAAGCAATCCAGTTAGGCGATTGGCCCCCTGGCCTAAGTGAGATAGGTCACTACGGTTAAAAAATGAGTTAAGCCACTATGGTTCTCATGGCCTCAAATACAGATGCTAATAATTGGCACTTAAAAATTTCAATACTGTCAAATACATAAACAGAAAAATACATATCAGATAAGAAATAGGGTCAAAAATCTTTTTTTTAGTGTGTATATTGTTGATCGCAGATGACCTTTACAGTGTCACCGGGTTTAGGGACGGCGAGATCCTAAGGGGACCTCAAGCCGAGAATTGGCGAGTGCCTCTAGAGGTATTCCAGGCGGATGGCATCTCCCAACGGGGGGAGTCTGCTCTCCGTCTGGAGCCTTTAGACACGGTAATAACATCTATACAGTATTCTATCTTCATACAAACGGTCGAAAAGCGTGTCATACCTACGCCACTCGAGTTCGCGCGACACTCGGTGGACATCCAGTCGCGAATGCGCCGCAGCGACGACCGAACGGTGTGAATTGTTTTTTATGTAGTTAGCCGTGCTTAAACGTGCGATTTGTATTGTGAAAATTTGATTGAATTAAATAGATACCTACACTATAGTAAGGATAATTTACAAACTTTTTAAAAGGACCTAGTAATGATTTCTTGGAATATGTAGAAAAAATGGAGGCAATATTCCGGACATCATTTAAAAAAAAACATACCAATTGTAAAGTAGCTGCAGGTATATATAACCAAGTTAAAGATATTCCCTTTTCTGCTCCTTGCCAATGTTTCCCTAAAGTATTTTTAATTAAACTTCTTATACGAATGCGTATTTATTATACTATTAAATTTAATAATAAAGCTTTTCGTACGTCTCAGTCGAGGCGTAAATATTTTTCTGTCCTAAATCTATAATTTTTATTTTACTAAATTTTACCTAAAAATAACATGTTTTCTATTGAACACTTCCTTATTCATTCACAACAATTATTTTTTACATATAAAATAGAGTATTTACAATTACAAAACTAGAAAGAAACTCAATTAAATAGATGAAATTAAAATACTGTAGGCGGGCAGCCCTACCGCGTATGTACGCAACGTTCGGCCGTAGGCAGTTATTTCAAGGACAGGGCCGAGTCACAATACTGTATAGATAATATTACAGTGCTCTAGACCACGCCGACCTGAGGGGGACGGCTCAACTAGAGGGCTAATCAAAAATCGTACAAAACACTCACCTATATAAGGCGGTGGGACCGCCAGTTTCCTAGCACTTTGTCTGGCGACAATAACTCGTTGTCGCCCTAAACAGTCGCCTAGACACATCGCTTCAACCTCCGATTGCAAGCTACGCGGTAGTAGAAGGCGACATTTATCGTCTACAAAGGAGAAATGGCTACTTTTAAGCTATGACCAAAATCTATATCTTCAACACTCACACCAATTAGCGCAGTCCCAAAGTAAGCACTGAAAGGCTTGTGTTATGCAATACTAGGGTAGCGGATAGAAATACATCAAGCTTTTCTTAAGCTGCAAGGTAGCGCCATATCTTCGCATTGTAGGTAACCCACAATGTCAAATGAATACCTTTACAAGCATTAAACATTTGAAAGAAGAAATAGCAATTATAGTTATAATTTTTATTTTTTAAGCATGTTTACTGCTCGATTTTGAAACCTATAGAAATATTACTAGAGAAAGTTCCACGCGGGCAACGCAGCAGACGGGAATTGAACCTGCACCCGCACACGGCTAGAAAGAATTCAACACGGCCATCAGGGCCGCGTCAGGATAATTGGTCAGTGCATTCGCCCGGATAGCGAAGGGTGCGGGTTCGAGTCCCGTCTGCTGTCTGGTCCGCGTGGAATTTTTGCTCGTTCGTATAATACTTTTTATCCCGGAAAAAAATTAGAATCCCTAGGGATTCTCAAAAAATTTAAGTAAACGCGGAAGATGTCGCAAAAGGCCGCTGACTAACTGAATAAATATCATTTTCAACACATTTGCTCAAAAAAAATACATTTACGGAGGTTGTATACATTGTTCGAAAGTTCAAAATTAGGGGCGTATAACGGAGCGTGCGGTAAACGTTTTACCGCACGCTCCGTTGAAATGTATTGAAAAAAGTTGTAGGCCATTCGCGCGAAATAAATAACTATTATTCAGTTTTTGAAACTTACTTTTAGGCTCACAAATAATCTAGTTCATTATAATTTCTTAACATAAAATCCTCACAATATTATAAATTAAGCCGAATATAATATAAAACTCAAAGGTGACTGACTAACTGAAATAGTGATCTATCAACGCACAGCCCAAACATGCAGGTAGATGTTATGACGTAGGCATCCGCTAAGGATTTTCATCAATTCTACCTCCAAGGGGATAAAATATGGAATGAAAGTTTGTCAATTTTAAACCGATCAGGCTGAGACATTGCATGCAGGTATAAGAAGAATCATAGATGAATGTCCTTGTGTATAATACAAGCCTGAGAACAAAAACTGTAGTCTACACTTCAGCTCTGCACCGAAGCGAAGCGAGGGCGGGCCGCTAGTGCCAATATAAAGTTAGCTCTCAAACATAAGACGTATTGTTCTAAAAAGAAAATCGAAGTAAAATAGACCTTACCGCTCTGAACATACTGCTCAATCAGTTCATACTCATCGATTAAAGTGTCAGGATCAACCATGACATACCACAAGTCGTTACTGAGGTCCAATGAGACATAGGAAGTGCTTGGTCCGTTGTTTGGTGAAGTCTGTAAATTAAATGCGTTTATAATAATATTGTTTTTCAATTAGTTATTAAATGTATATTTAAATTTTTTAAGCATTTCACTACTAGATATTTAAATCGAAAGAAAATAAATAAATAAATGTTTCCAACACTCACACCAATTAGCATAGCCCCAAAGTAAGCACTGTAAGGCTTGTGTTATGAGATACTAGGGTAACGAATAGAATACATCTTTATATATATAATTCTTCTGTGAGTGTGTATGTCACTGAACTTCTCTTAAACGACTGGACCGATTTTGATGAAATTTTTTGTGTGTGTTCAAGGGGATCTGAGAATGGTTTAGATTCACAATTTTGTCCGCTGGACAACCCCTATTTTTTTAGGGCGGTACGAAGTTCGCTGGGTCAGCTAGTCTTTATATATATAATTCTTCTGTGAGTGTGTATGTCACTGAACTTCTCTTAAACGACTGGACCGATTTTGATGAAATTTTTTGTGTGTGTTCAAGGGGATCTGAGAATGGTTTAGATTCACAATTTTGTCCGCTGGACAATGTTTTTTTAATGAAATTTTTTTATGGCGGTACGAAGTTCGCTGGGTCAGCTAGTATATATATAGGAATACATATTAAACATCCATGACTGGAGTACAAATGTTCGTATTTCGTCGTTCGTCACACAAACATCTGCGCCACCACCGGGATCTCTCGAATCGGCGACACCATGAGACCCGGCGTATAAACCACTCGGCCACGGAGGTCGTCAAAAAATTTCACAAGAAAACAATCCACGCGGACCGGGCAGCAGACTCGAACCCGCAATCCGGTATCCGGGCGGATGCACTGACCTCTATGCTACCGCGGCCCTGATGGCCATGTTGAATTTTCTCTGGTATTTCCTAGACTAGTCTAGCTTCTCTAGTAGTTCAGGACATTTAAAAATGAAACCGGTTCCGAAAAAGTGTTTTATACAATGATCAGGGTGCAGAAAAACATAAGAATGAGGGTTTTCCGGATAGACGGACGCCAGGTGGCAGCACTAAGACGAAAGGTCTATATCATGGAGTTTTTTACGGGATTTCATCGAGTGCGGTTGGCGTCTTATTTTAATTATTCTTAAATTCGTTCATAGTGGATATTGTGAAATAAAATTGGTGTGATTCTGTGTTACATCCATCTGCGCAACTGAAGAATTAGTGGAATCTTTAATATACACGCTATTCCGGTCAAGTGGACGTGAGAACTTTATTGCAGTGTTGACTACCTCACAGAAGCTTATCGAAAAAACCAACTCGATAGATTTCGTGCCAAACACTCCAAAAAACAATAGAATGCGTCACACCGACATTCTAATGTAAAAAAAAGAAGATTAAGAATAAAAAAAAAATGGGTGCGTGTACTTAAGTAGGCGCGTGAGAAGTTATCCTTCTTTGGCATCGTTTAAAATTAGTTTTTAATTGCATGCAAATAATTAATTACAATAAATTAATAAAAAGTCTGGAAAAGGACACAGTCAATAAAGTTCAGTTTTAATTTGAAAAAATAAATAAATAATCAAAATATTCAATTAAAATCGCTACTGAATATAATTTATTAGAACATATGTGATTTGCACTTGTATGAAACTCAAACACGTATTCCGAATATACAAACTAGAAACATGTGGATAAATATTATAAATATGAATACCTATAACTGTTACTTTATTACAAAAAATAAAGATGTAGTTTTTGGTTCTACTACACCAATGGTCAAGAGATGGCGCTGTAGTCTCCTGAATCGCGCTTTGGTTCCGTTGTTTCAGATTAATAAATACTTTTGATAGGCCTTCACAATGCAGTCGTTAGCACCCACTAAATAGAGATTCTATTTCTATTTTGTTGGTAGATTTTCTTAATGTGCGGTAAACACAAAAGTAACAGCATGAAGTTGGTCGCTTTAGCGACCAACTGCATGCTGCTAATATTTTGTGTTACAGTGATGCGCGCGCATCTTAAAATCTCACTCTCATCATTTTTTCATAACGCGCCTAAAGAAGTATAACTTCAAAAAAAAAGGTCTACTCATCCGTTAAAGCACCTATGTCGTTATAATCTATGAATCAATTTAAACGATCATTCGATTAATTCGCCCCAAAAACTTCATACAAAAGACGTCATGTCACAGTGGTGCCAACCTAAACACACTAATTAAATACATTCATCATAATAAAAGAAACGAGGAACTCGATGGCGTGGTTAGCACATTCAGTTTGCAATCGTTCAGTACCTTAAGCACGAATCAATATCAAATTCGATTCATTTTCGAGTTTGAAATTACACTGTCAAATGTGTACTGATTTTTAACCAACTTCAAAAAAGGCGGAGGTTCTGTTTCGACTGTATATTTTTAGTTCTCGTTACGTCCTTTGTGGCGCTAATGTCCTCCAAGTTTCCATACAAAATTTGACAATGACATTTCGGACTCGAAAACTATTCGAATTCGATATTGGTTCGTGCTAGGGGAACAGATAGGTGATAAAAAATGTATTAACTTACTCCACCATGCTTCAGAAGGCACATTGATTCGAAGGCACACTGCAGTCGTTGGCACCCACTAATCCGCACTAGGATCACGTGGTCATGGTCCAAGTCAGCAGTGGCCACATTAATAGAGTATGATGATGAAATGTTATAAAATTTGTTACGGAGCCTTTCTCATGAGAATCCCACTCATCCTTGATAGATTTTTAATCAGACCTTACCTTAAAGTTTTCTCCGTTTGTGTCATCACTACCATTGTCATCATGGAGACTAAAGGTGACCCGTTTCTTTGAGGTAGATTTAGATTCATTTTGGTCAGTTTTATAAGTCTTTATCTTTTTACCTGCAATTTCAGAACTTTTCAAAACAGAGACAAGAAGAATCACAAAGTATATCAAATAAATCATAGTGCGATGTTCCGCAAAAAAGAAAGTAGCCAGAAGAAAGACTCGCGCCATTCCATTATACGCATCACAAGTCACGAAAAAATTCTGCTTGAAACTGCATGATGCCTGTACATTACGTCAATGTACGCGTGAGAAGAACAACATTTTGTTCTTTCTTTTTTGTTTTTAGTGAAATGCAGGCTAGTCGTGGCAAAACTGTATCCCTAATCAAACTGGAACATTTGCATCTGTAACAGTACAATGTTCCAGATCAGGGAGTACATACTGTACATATATAAGTATAATTATATAGAAATACATATTTAACATCCATGACTGGAGTACAAATGCTCGTATTCATCACACAAACATTTGCCCCCACCGGGATTCGAACCCGGGACCTCTCGAGTCAGCTACACCATGAAACCCGGCGTACAAACCACTCGGCCATGGAGATTGTCAAAAATAATTTTGAATGGTTTTTTTAAGCTGCTAATAACTAGAGAACTTTCTTAAATTCTTGAAGACATATGACATGTTACATACCTTCTGAATTTCGCAGTTCACCTAAACCAACAGATCTTCTCCTCTTTGCCAGAAGTACCAATCGCAAGTCATCATCACCAAGCTTCTGCGAATCATCGGTTACTTGTTCAAAAGAATCGGGTACTTGTTCTTGTTTTTTTCGACAGAATAAGTTCAATTGATCTTCATTATTTTCTATTGGACTAAAAGTGTCGAAGCTTTTCTGTTCTCTACACCAGTTCTCATCAATCTCTGGTTTGGTAGAAGCTCTCTTGAATGATGTTTGTTCTCTATCTAATGTTGTCACAATCTTAGTTGACCTCTCATCATCTATACCAAATGAGAATGTTTTATAATATGAATTGCTAAAACAATTTCCTATTGGAGTTGACATATGAAAAGGTATAGATTCTGAAATAATTCTTTCATCTGTTTTCTGCACATTTCTGTTGTAATTTGTGAAGCGTCTGGATAGGGAACTGGTGCATGAATGGACAATACGTCCATAGTTCAAATTAGTATTGTCTTCACCAATGTACCGATTTGCATCAGAGTTTTGCAGACTCATTGGTGGAGGCAGCTGTATAGCTGTCCAAAGAATGTTCGGCACATACATTTCACTGTTCTGCACAAATTTTGCTGGCTGTCCGAATATGGGTGTGGACTCATTATTAGGATTAAATGTGTTATTGAATACTCGTCTTCTCAGCATGCCAATTTCAGGTATTTTGTTAGTGTTGGGTTTGTTGAATATTTGTCTAGTTGCATGAGGTATGCTGGGTCCTTCATCTTTAGGAGGACCTGTCGGTTCTGGGTATGAGTGGCTCTTGTCAGACACTTTATGAATGTTGATACTTTTTACATTGTTATTCTGCGGAATAAATTAATTTAGTAGGAAAAAATAACAAATTCAGGGATTTTAAAAAGTAAAGATTTTAGTAAGTTATTGTACGTCAATTTAAGGGCCCTTAGAAGAGGGGGGGGGGGGGATTATCTCCTACCACTCCCCCCTTTAAATTTTCAGGAATTGGGCTCAACAGTCAGACAACTCAATGGACAATAATCTATATTTTAGCCAGAGTAATTATATAGGTTCCTATTTTCCACTTCAGACTCAACAAACCATTATGAAAGATTTACAAAATTAATTTCAATAATTTCATTAAACAAAAAGATTGAAAGTATAACTTGACTACAGCTAGACACATTAGTTTTATAGCAGCGGTCAAAATTTGCGTTCTGAAAAGATTCTAAATAAGAAAGCATAAGTATAAATGTGTTAAATAAATTTAGGTGTTCGATGAAGATAATAGCTTATGTAAACAGGCAGTGCTTCTTTATCCATGTATTGGAATGAAGTAAAAAGAAGTTGCAATGTGAAATGGACTTGGAAATTGTGACTATAATCAGCACCTAGTTTTAAAAGCAGGTACAGTCTATAGTCCTGTCCTGTGTCTAGTGTAGGCACAGGTTTACTAACGTGTTAAACAAATGCTAGAGTATTGCAGCCTTATCAGTACATTCGGAATAAGACAAGCATTGTTTTAATGGAAAACTAAAAGCTGTTAACTGATTTCACTTACTAGTCTTAAGTACAGTGAAAGCTTTATGAAAATCTTTTAAATATTCAAATAACAATTTCTACTCACATCAGCGTCTAAACTCCATGCGGCTTCGCCATTTAGGACATTGAAATAATAAAATTTTCCAGGATAAGTTTTGGATGGGCACAAAATCCATCCATTGTTTTTCTTGTTCTGATTCATTTTCGTCGATGTACCACTCACATTACATACATAACAAACAAATTCACCACGGAATCAACAATTTTAACTTTGGTAACCATGTTTGGAATTTGTTTTTTACAACCATTAAAATAAATTTTGCTGACACCCGCGAAAAACTTCGATGGTTAAACTTTTTTTTTTTAATTGCAGTGTTGCCAGGAGTAAACTTTGCAAATCTACATTCGTATAGATCGCGCCAAACTTCTAGTCCGCTCTGAAGTTGTTTCGCGCAGGTGTTATAGCCCTAAAAACAACTTCGTCCCTTTAAATACGTACTACGTCGCGAATTGTGCAGTGTTCAGAGCGGACTAGAATATTGGCACGATCTATACCACTTATTAATATAAGAGGTACCTAACGCTGTGTGTGCTGTTTGTATTATATAATGATTGTACAAAACGATATTCTGCATTTTGTGTGTTAATTTTTTTCTAATGCTTTCTACAAAATACTTTTGAAATCTTTCTCAAATTGAGACAATATTTTTTTCCACGCAGTCTAAGTACACGCACTTGTGTCGTTATAATATTCTTTATTTTAATGATTATTACTTAATCGATCACGCAAAAACGTGTGAAGATCTGCAGCAGCGCCACACCTGACCTCAGTGATCTGATACACCTCAATGTGGTGTACGAAGTACATACACAACTTACAAGCAATCAGAGTTCACGTTAAAGTTTAAGTTTCGGAGAAAATAAAAGTATTTCTTGTGGCTCTGCCAGGGAGCATACTCAGTCCATTCTTTGATAATTAACAATTTTTGACACGTACGTACTGAGAACATATACATAGATTCACATCAGATCAAACAGTTAAACAACTTCGGTGCGTATGAATTTGGACTGGCACAAGAAATATTTTTTATTTTACGAAACTATTCAACGTGCGTAAATTCTGATTGTTTGTACGTTGTGTACGTACTTCGTACAGCACATTATGATATGTTGGATCACAGAGGACAAGGGCAGCGCTGCTGCAGAGCATCACAAGCAAAAACGGCTTAATTAATAAAAAAATACTGTAACTGTGAAACAATTACAAACGCTCGGTCCAATAAAATTACCCGATTTATTTAAACTTTATTGCCAAACATAAGTAAATGACGGCATTTGGCCATAGGCATTCTGTACCAGTCAACCAGTATGAGTGTTGACGAATTAAGCGAAACACCGAATTTCAGCCATCGCCCAATCAAAGATATCTTGATATTATCTTACCATATCTACAGTACAGTGTAAGTCTTAGGCCCGTATTATAGAAAGATTCTCAGTGATTGATCTAGTCTTGAGCATAGCTAGAAAGGGATGTCCCTATATATAGCACATAGCGACATCCCTTTACTAACTGTACTCAAGTAAAGATCAACACTTAGTTGTCATTCTGTAATACGGACCTTAATCTTTGAGTGGACGAATCAAGTTATGAACTTACTGCATTGACAGGAGATTGAGGTAAGGAAGTAATAAATGTAGCAATAATATCCGATATGTTATTTGTTGACCTTTTAATTACATAATACAAAACTTATAGCAATATTATGAGCAAAAAGTTTACAAAACTTTTTTTTTATATTAGGAACAATATCAGCTACTAACTAATCCCCATTATTTTATTAAACTTACATTAATCGCATACATTAATATCACATTATAATTTTTAATTCGAAATCCTTATTGCAATATTCAAATTAAGTACCTATCTAAGTACCAATAAAATACCCATAAAAATAATTCATTACTTAAAACATGTACAATTTGTAATAAAATTCCTTGAAAAAATAATGAAATTGTTTACATTTTTTAAGTTGCCTTATTGCCTACTGCATTTTCTAAATATTATGATACGCGAACCTTCATAATATTTTAAAGGATCATACTACAACTAACTTTGGCAGACATTTTTATGAGCTACGCGCAATAGACAGCTGATACAGTGTGGTGATTAAAAAAATCAAAATGGAGAGCTAATAGTTGAAATAGCTGAGTTGCATCTGAAATGAGTGTCAAAAGAATTTGAATGTTGCGATATAACATTTCATTGACTTGCGCTGTTTTTACATTATAATAAGTATAAGACAGTGATTAAAGTAATATAAGTTATTTACGGGATTGTTACCATGTACCTTGTTTTTAGCGAGTTTCCGATATTTCGGCACTGTTGCAAGCGCCATGATCATAGAGTAACTGAAGTAATTACGGGTAGGCTGTTATTGGCAGATATACCGGTCTACCCTCCGACGAAGTCTTTTATTGCGTTCGATACCCGTACCACTGTTCATGCTGATTTCTGCAAATGTCAGAAATCAGCCATCCTGGAACATTTGATTGATTCTGGTCCTAACCACTGGATTGAGTTTCATAACCCACAGATTATCTCGACAGAACACCACTACATCCCAAGATTGGTCAGGGAAGCGATTGAAAAAACAAAACATAAAAATTTCAATCGTGAGGACGGGTTTAAATTGTCGAGTGTCTGGAATCCTGTGGTTTGTATTTGTAAAACCGGAAATAATCAAAAAAGTATCGTGTCGCGATCCGATACTGTAAGTGTTGTGTGTCGTGAACAGTTTCGAGTCAATAGTGAGTATGTAAACAGTGGTACGGGTATCGAATGCAACAAAAAACTTCGTCGGAGAGTAGACCGATATGTCTGCCAATAACAGCCTACCCGCAATTACTTCAGTTACTCCGTAATCATGGCGGTTGCAACAGTGCCGAAATATCGGAAACTCGCTAAAAAACAAGGTACATGGTAACAATCCCGTAAAAAACTTATATTACTATAATGTTAGTGACCAAGAAAGTTTAAAACTATAAGACAGTGATATGATATTATTTTTCGAAAACTTCTGAAACGAAAGTTTCAAGAGAGGTAGGTAGGGTATAGCCGATTTCGAGCTTGAATCGAAACACCCGGTCTAGTTCATTTGTTTTCAGGGCTCCATGGTGTAGGGGGATTGGGTTCAAGCCTTTTCCACTAACACTTGTCTTAACATCAGGTGTTTTAGGGTGGTATAGTAATTCATTGGCAGTGGCGGCGCTAGACCACATGTGGACGTCGGCGACATCAAGTTCGCGAGGCCTATTTTACTTCCCAGTAAAAAACCGATAAATTAAGTGAGCCAAATTATAAAATAACGTATGAGTAAACGAGTTTTATTGTTGATAATCAAATGATGACAAAAAATAATTAAAAACATAGAAATTTAATAACAAAAATAGTGTTGCCAGACAGACGATTCTGAATACCCATAAAGTACTACTCGCTTCCATCACGCACGTGTTCGAAAATAATAAAAGTCATTATCATCTGCTTAGCTTTTTCCCCGAATTGTTCGGGGTCGGCTACCTAAGCCAGGCCAGGAGAAACGAAAATAAATAGGTAACTTGTAAAAAAATTTTGCGAGGCGCCCTCAGGCGCGAGGCCGTCGGCGGTGGCCGACGTCGCCGACGCCTAGCGCCGCCACTGTTCATTGGAGTTAATTAATTCGTTTGTGCTCTGAGCAAATTTACAAAACTAGCTGAGTTTCGGTTTCAATTAATTATTTTTTTCCAATATGTTTGATAATGAGTATTATAATGTATTTCTTAAATGGATGAATCTATTGCCTTGGGCTTCTACCTGTAATAATAGATATAAGTATTTGATATAAATAAATAAGTAAAATAATTTCTTATGTTTTGTATAAAATAATCAAATGAATTTCCAATAATATTAATTTGATTTCGCTCTATGATAAGAGATGCTTGTCCTTAACTTAATCGAGAATGAGCTTTGATACTTGCACCGCTACATAAATTGTTTCGTAAAATATAAATCGGTTTAAGAAAGCAATTCAAATATAAGTACTTACAAATCTACCTATATCTATTTTTGGATTCATATCAAAAATTTGACAAAGACAATATTCTGAAATATAGAATTCATATAAATACAGTTAGTATTAGTTAATATTAACTTTATTTATATTTTTACTAAACCAATTCGGAAATTATATAAGTGATAGTAACGTGAAACCTTTAGCTCTCAGTCTTCTACAAAATTACTTGATTTTGTAGCTTGCCTATTCTATAAGTTTTTCAAAAATATATTCTGTTATTATATCAATGACATTTTTAATTAAATTTATTGTAAGTGAATTCGGCACTATGCATAATATATGCTAGCATTAAATATCAATTTGATTTCTTCTCAGATATTTGTATCAAATGAGCTAAAAAAATATGTATAATAACATCTAAATATAAAAAGTATAAGGCACCTAAAGCACTTTCATAGTTCCACAAAAATTAACAACGTAACTTAACTTGACGTTTTTATAAATACCTCTTTTTCGTATGTTAAAATTTTGTTTGTAGTCATCGTTGTATTTTTACTCTTGAAATGTAGTAAGGAATTTAAAGTTTCGTTCTTTAAGCGGTGAATGTAAAGATTTTTAGCTAAAAAATAACTGCCAGTAAGCAGTAAAACACTTAAGACTATATAAGACAATGGCGGCAGTATCACAGTCATGAAGTATATCGTTGTTTTAATGTGAGATGGCAAGCCCTCTTGATTCTGTAACAATAAAAAATATTTTTATTTTAATGTATGTTATTTTTATTCAGAAGCGTCTCTAGCCCATGTGGCGCCCGTGTGCAAAATTATTCTAGCGCCCCCTATGGAATGAGTAAAAAGTACGAGTAAAAACACATCACCAAACTGTCAAATTTCAAAAATGAATAATAACTTCTATTGTTTGGAAATTAAATTTGAAGAAGAAAGTCACATGGCCGTCGTGTGGGGCTTCGTAGCGGGCGGCGTCGGAGCTCGGCACCCCCTAGGACTTTGCGCCCGTGTGCAACGCACACCCTGCACCATAGGTAAAGACGCCTCTCCTTTTATTTTTAGATAAGTACAACTTGGTAATCAGGAAAGAATTTTTTGCAATAATTTTCTCTAAACAAATATTCCAATAAAATTAGTTATAAAACATTTGAGCAATAAAAACGTAAAATGAAGGCGTTAATAAAATAATAAACAAAAAAGTATATAGGGAAAGGATTATCCAGTTACCAACCGTCTAAGATAACAAACTCTCTATATCTTAAAGAAGACTACAGTATCTTTAGATGGAGATCTTTTGTTGTAAAGAATACATAAACATGTGTGTGAAATATGTTTGCTCATGTTTTCTGATATTGCATGCGTCTAAGGAGTTTGCTATAATGTCTTCTAACTATTAGGCTATAATGATTGTTTTCTACGCTCTTTTTAAAAAAATAGAGATATCACTTAATGATCGAACCTTATCACGTCATATTGAAATACAAAGCTTTATTATAGTAAGAAATTGTTTTAATACTCACATATTCAGCCCAGAACAATGGCACCACGAGGTTCGAAAACTTCCCATAATCGTATCCGAAGCCAGAGAGGTCATGAATTCTCAAGTTGCTCTGCATACGAGCCACGGACCGGAATGGCGTGCCAGATAACTGCAACAAGGAGATGTGTGTCAATTAAAACATTTATTTATATTTACTTTATTGCAAATTATAGCAAAAAACGGTCATAATGGCATTCTCCACCAGTCAACCAGTACGAGAAAAAGTAAGAGTGTGTTGAAGAAGTTATGACGGTGGCGCAATAAAAATACGTGTAAGGTAATCCTGGGAATGAAATTTCAAAAATAGAACACTCGTACGTGTTATATTATTCAGAGCTTTACGTATGATGGGGGCCAAATCATTCCAGCATGCCAATGAAAGAGTAAGAGACGAAGGTAGAAGAATGGCCCGTCCATTGCAGAAAGCCGCCGTCAGTTTGCAGAAGGAGGTTCTCCGTTGAACGGTATGTATATTCTTAGTCACTGATCACGGTGCCACATCTTTGATGCTCTAAGGTCCGTATTACAGAATGACAACTAAGTGTTGATCTTTACTTGAGTAAAGTTAGAAAGGGATATCGCTATGTGCTATATATAGCGACATCCCTTTCTGACTATGCTCAAGACTAGATCAATCACGGATTATCTTTCCCTCCGATTCCGCCAATGCTCCCACACAGGCCACAAACACCAACACTACACAGCTAGCAAACGTGCACACTAGCTTAGCATTAGGCAGACACCGCGCCCGTAGGATAAGAGTGCGAAGACCCGGTCTACACACGACACGCTATACCAGGTACAGGTACGTACCTGGGCAGTTTTCCCGCCTCCCACGACAATGGCTAACTAGAGCCGAGGTCCGAGTCTTAGAGACACCCTCTAGTTGAGCCGACCCCCTCAGGTTCGATTGGTCTAGAGGCTCCAGATGGAGAGGAGACTCCCTCCGTGGGGAGACGCCATCCGCCTGTAATACCTCTAGAGGCACTCGCCCATTCTCGGCTTGAGGTCTCCTTAGGATCTCGCTGTCCCCAAACCCCGGTGACGCTGTAAAGGTCATCTGCGACCAACAGCATATTCTATAATACGGGCCTAACACACCTTATTATTACTTACCGGTTCAACTATTATGTAGGAGTTATGCTTATAGCGATCTGGTTGTAAGCCTGTGACGTAGGTGTCTTTAGGTGGATCACCGGTGTAAAAGTGTGGGTACGATACCACCATCGGAAAGTCTGTAACGAAAAAACAAAACACATATTTTACTGTGAAGATTTATTGCTATGACAGTTAATACGATTTCTTAATAGACAAGGTAGAACATAGCTGCTTATCCATTTAGATATTTACGCACCCGTTTAAGGAAATACCTCCCAACTTACAAAAGACCATAAAGAAATAAGGCAAACATTGGATTTATTTGATATTGAAATTATATAAAAACATAAACTTACTATAATAACACTTGGAACCATCGCTCAGACCCTTCGGCAGACTTGGCTCGGTGTCATAGCAGTCGGTGCTGTTGATCACGCGATCGAACACGCTCTCCGACAAGTTGTACCGGTACACTGGCACGCCGTCGATCACCATCTCATCTGAGGTACAGTAAAATAATATTAATACTTAAATATAGCCCAACTAATATTATAAATGTGAAACTTTGCATGTTTGTTGTTACTTAAACATGCAATAGCGACTGAACGGATTTGGGTGATATTTGGCACATGAATATAGTTTTTTACGTACCTGGATTGAGATATAGGATAATTTATATCCCGAATAAACTAAGGTTCCTGTGAGATCCTAAAAAAACTTACAATAACGGAAGTACGAAGTAGCGGGTGGAAATTAGAAGTAAAATAAATTTCAATGGAGAGTCTATGTTTTCGTTGTGAATACTTTCAAAGAGAAATAAATTGAAGAAGACGACTGTTCTTACTAAATATTTCAATAGAAATCAAGTGAAGCATTCTTTATAATTTTCAAAGTATGCAAAAAAATATAGAGGATAGGAACTGTTCAGCAATATCTTATTTTAACAGAATACTTTGTCTACGATTCTATCGACGAATTAATAACAACAATCTTTTCCACCAGATAGTAGAAATGAATAAAAAACTGGCAACATCCCAAATGTCAAAGCGTTTCGTTAGCAGTTGAGTATGGTTTTTGGCGGGATTTCATCGAGTGCGGTTGGCGTCTTATTTTAATTATTCTTAAATTCGTTCATAGTGGATATTGTGAAATAAAATTGGTGTGGTTTTGTGTAACAACTGTCTGCGTAACTGAAGAATTAGTGGAATCGTTAAAATATACGCTATTCCGGTCAAGTGGACGTGAGAATTTTATTGTAGTGTTGACTACCTCACAGAAGCTTATCGAAAAAGCCAACTCGATACATTTCGTGCCAAACACTCCAAGAAACATTAGAATGCGTCACACCGACATTCTAATGTAAAAAGTAAAAACAAAAAGAAGATTAATTTAATTAAAGACCAGGCTGTATGGGCATTGTTCCCTTTGCCTTTCCTAAAACGGGAAAACTGCAACAAAAAAAAAACAGTTGAGTATAGTTTTAAGTTTCATGGGTACTTACCATGGACGAAGAATTTTAGCTACGATCCTTCCTTGATTGGTAGAAAGGTTAAATGAGATAGAAAATTACTAACCGTCGAAATACAGTGGCATGACTTTGCACACAGTTTTCCTCCAGTACAATACGACGTCTTCCTTTGTCAGTCGTTGATGGTACATGACACCTTCCGTCGATCCGATAATACGGTCCGGACACTCCTGCGAATTAAAAAAATGGGTGCGTGTACTTATGTAGGCGCGTAAGAAGTTATCCTTCTTTGGCATCGTTTAAAATTAGTTTTTAATTGCATGCAAATAATTAATTACAATAAATTAATAAAAAGTCTGGAAAAGGACACAGTCAATAAAGTTCAGTTTTAATTTGAAAAAATAAATAAATAATCAAAATATTCAATTATAATCGCTACTGAATATAATTTATTAGAACATATGTGATTTGCACTTGTATGAAACTCAAACACGTATTCCGAATATACAAACTAGAAACATGTGGATAAATATTATAAATACGAATACCTATAACTGTTACTTTATTACAAAAAATAAAGATGTGGTTTTTGGTTCTACTACACCAATGGTTAAGAGATGGCGCTGTAGTCTCCTGAATCGCGCTTTGGTTCCGTTGTTCCAGATTAATAAATCCTTTTGATAGGCCTTCACAATGCAGTCGTTAGCACCCACTAAATAGAGATTCTATTTCTATTTTGTTGGTAGTCTTAATGTGCGCTAAACACAAAATTAACAGCATGAAGTTGGTCGCTTTAATTTTTTGTGTTACAGTGATGCGCGCGCATCTTAAAATTTCACTCTCATCATTTTTTCATAACGCCCCTAAAGAAGTATAACTTCAATAATAATTAGGGAGAATTGGGGGATCAGTCCATAACCAAACAAGCAGAAGTTGTAGGCCTATTCGCTAGACTTTATTGACATACAGTGGTGTCGATTCTGGTATGATTATAAAAACTTAAAACTAAATTTAACATCAATCTCTCCCTTTCATTCTCTATAAAGAATAACAAGGAAGGAAATTTAATTTTAGGTTGAAAGAATCATGCCGGAATCGGCACCAGTGTTTAACCAAAGAGCAAAGTGTATACCTGTCCATCGATGTTTTTCAGGACAAGTATCTTAGTGGCGTTATAACGATGCAGTATAGGATCAGTGAAAAGTTCGCTGGCTAGGCAGGTTAGGCAGTGATGCTTCCATTCCATCCCAAAAACAGTTAGCGAATAGGTCTACACCACGTACGGATTGGTGTGTGCTTGCGTGGTGCTTGCTAACGACTGCAGACGTAGCCGGGACTAGGGTTACTATCCGTCCGGATTTGTCCGACTTTTAGACTATAGTCCGGACTTTGTCCAGATTCTTTAAATTACACTGAATATGAATAATAAAAGTACGTATTGATTTAAATAACATACCATTGTAACTAAGTGAGTAATGGTACCATTTTATGACTAAAAGTCCGGACTTTTTCCGAAATGTCAAGATTTTTGTCAGGACTTTTGAAATTCCTCAATGGTAAGCTAGCCGGGATCGACACGACTCTAAAGCATCTTATTATGAAGCACAGAAGAGATCGATTTGGTCGCCCATCTTATGACCGGCCATTATGAAAGTTACTTAACTTTCACGATCGCAGATTAAACGCCATAATCACTTGCTCCATCGAGCTCCTCTAGCGTAAATCTCATAATTTTGTTTTTGTGGTAAACCCGTTGTCCATATTATATTGGTCCGGGAAAACAAACCTCGGTAAGGAGTTCCACTCCCTAGCCGTTCGTATAATGAAAGCGGAAGCAAATTGCTTCGTGCGAATGGGAGGAACTTGGACAACATAAGGATGAAAACCCTCGCCGCGCCTGGTCGTCCGGTGGGGGAAAAGGGAAGGGGGGATACATTTCGGAGAGTGTGCGGAGGTATTACCTAATTTATGTAATACCTCCGCACACTCCGAAATGTAACCGATAAAAAACCGAGAGGCAAGCTACATGTCTTCGGTGGTCAAGACTCTGGAGATAAGCCTCAACGAGAGCGTCATTGCTTATGAGTCTCTTCGCACGGTGTTCCACCGAGTCCAGTGCATCCAGCTGATACCGAGCAGATCCGTCCCAAAGGTGACAACAGTACACAAGCAGGAGCGAACTTGGGCTCGGTAAAGGTTAAGGAGCTGCTCAGATGTAAAATATCGCCTGACCTTAGGAAGTATTCCAAATTTTTTGGCAGCGGTTTTAGTAATGGACTCGATGTAGCAACCGAAATTGAGGCCGGATGAGATGTCCAGACCCAAGAGTTCGAGATGGTCTTTAACCGGCACGGAGACATTTCGGAAAGTCGGAGTCAGATGGAACGGACTTCGTTTGTTCTTTAATCTAAGGAATAAACGATTTCAAACCTTATGCACTTACGTCAGGGTCGTATCCAGGTAGTTGTGGCGCTCCTCTGAACCTGTCAATCTGGAAGAATCCCTCGTCGCCCCACTTAGGCCCTATCTTCACAGTTACCTCGTCAGTGAAGTCTGCGTAGATCTGACAAAATAAATAAATATTTCATACACTCATACCAATAAGCCTAGTTATGGAATATTAGGGTAACTGATAGAAATACGTATAGGCAACTATGAACTAGGCATAAGCGCAAGTGATACTTTAGTACAGCAAACGTCTATAAGCTATGCCGACTTGCCATCAGGCTGAGGGTCTGAAATCTTCTTCTTCTTCTTTTTGGAAGATGGCGGTGCACTTTTGTGTATTTCGCCAGACTTCAGTGATTCGGCTTGGCTGTTCAGTAGGAATTGACTTTGCTTTTTTTTAAAGTATGTTATGAGAGCACAATATGTGGAGATTACGTTTTATAAATTTTGTTCATAATTATGTTGGAGGGAAATAAGGTACTTGTGTAAGGTAGTGGCACAAATGACCGACAGGATCCAATAGCTCAGTGTTACCATTGTTAGCGATCGGTTACCTACTCTTGTTTTCATTGATCACGGAAGGAAATGTCGATCATTGACCAATAACCAGTGCCACTATAATACCTTATAGCATCAGAAAAAAAGGAACTTTAAGTGGAGAAATTCTTTGAAATTCAAAAAACCAATTTGTAACTCGTTTTAGGTATAACATTTTACTTTATTAATGTTCATTAAAATAGTGTATAGGAGGTCGATGGCGTAAGTGGTTAGCGCGTTCGGCTGCGATCGTTGAAGTAAAGCAACTTTCGCAGAGGTCGGTCATTGGATGGGTGACCAAAAAAAATTTACTATCTCGAGCTCCTCCGTGCTTCGGAAGGCACGTTAAGCCGTTGGTCCCGGCTGCATCTTCAGTCGTTAGCACCCACCAATCTGCACTGGGCCCGCGTGGTGGGTCATGGCCCAATCTCCCTATTCCATCCATAGGGAAGGCCTGTGCCCCAACAGTGGGGACATTAATAGGCTGATGATGATGATGAATATAGTATCAAAATATTTTTTTTCTCTCTTATGTTTATAAGACACTATGTGAGATAAATAATAGAGGAAATTACTTAGGCAATTGATTAAACTTAACGTTATATTTTTTATATGTAAATTAATGCTGTAATTTCCCTATAAATAAATAAAGAATAAATAATAAAATATGTTTTCATATCATCCTTGCTTCGCCAGTATCCTCGTACATATTGTTCCAGATTCTTCAAAGTGTCCAGCTGAGTGTCCAGCACAGGAACGGTGAGTTGCCACAAATATTCGTAGTTTTTTTTGCCGAGTCGTGATTTAGGAACTTTTTGAGTGAAAAAAGCTGGATTCTTTCATCGAAAGCGGGACATATTAAAAAAACGTATATAATCAAAAGTTATTGAATATTAATTATCTTCATTACGCGCCGGTCAGGTGGCCAGTCAGACCCGTCTTTCCCAGCGGGCACTTTGGGCAAGTGGCCAGGGCCCCCTCAGATCAAATACAAAGTCCCTAGTTCCTGTTAAATCACCAAACGGGGTTCATAGGGGTCCCATTAGGCTCAACTCACACCAAAAGAGCGTCGAAGCGCAGTGAAGCGGAGTTCAGATTCAGTGTCATATGAATTTTAACTTTATTTTCATTACTATAATACTTATTATCGCATGAGAAACTCGAACGAGTCCCGCGGTGCCGCGGGAATTCCGACGAATTCCATAAGCGCGCCTTCTCTACCGAGCGGGTCGCTGTGCTTCGCTGTGCTTCGCTGTGCTTCGCTGTGCTTCGCTGTGCTTCGCTGTGCTTCGCTGTGCTTCGCTGCCCTTCGCCGCTCTTCCGGTGTGAGTTGACCCTTATCCTAATATACCCAGAGCCCCCAATAGGTCAAAGACGGCACTGTGGCCAGTCCACACTTTGTCTGTACCACTCGCCCGCGCTTTCTCAGTACGCTGCACGCACGGTCGAGATATTCCCGAAAAGCGGGATTGAGCCCGTCCCGCGTGGGACGTCTAGCAACGCTGAGTCGTACAGAGTCTAAAAGAGAGAGATAGTTATATGTTGCCGTCTCACCCTCGCCAGCATCCCCATATTGGTGACCGGTACCATACCAGGCGCCAGGTTCTTCGAAGTGTCTAGCACTGGATCTGTAAGTTCCCACAGGTATTCGTACACGGTCTTCTGTACGAACAACTTGCTGCTGTGGGAGTTGACCAGCAGTCGGAAACCAGTTCGTACTAGATAGTTGGCGTCGTGAAGGTATGACGCTATACCCTGTAAAGATGTGGGAAATGATGAGCGAGTGATTGATAAAAAAATCCTTTTTTAGTCTAATACTTAATAATTTAATTTTTTTTTTCAACACACATCAAAGTAAGCACTATAAGGTTTATGTTATGGGATGCTAGGGTTACGGATAGAATACATATGTATACTGTATATATAAAAGTATATTTATATAGAAATACATCTTATACATCCATGACTGGAGTACAAATGCTCGTATTCATCACACAAACATCTGCCCTCTCGAGTCGGCGAACCATGAAACCCGCCGTACAAACCACTCGGTCACGGAGGTCGTCTTTTTAACATAATTTACATAATTGTTTCATCTAAAGAAAATTATAGTAAAAAAATCGACACGGCCACGGCCGGGTTTGAGTCCCGTCTGCTGCCTGGTCCACGTGGAATTTTTTCTAGTAAAATTTCTTTAGATATAAAGATCGCTGTATCATCAGGCGGACCCACAGAACATAGAAATAGGTGCTTGTCAACTACACTTTTTACATAAACAAACTTGAAAGAGTAAGCTATTCTTAAAGGCTTATGCTTCGTTGATGTCTTTTGTTCGAACTTCAGTAGGTAGCTATCACAGAACACTATAAGCGGTTAGAATGGCCTTGTGGGTGAGGCAGGAGCGCCACAGTTACGTGTGAGCAAATAGATAAATATTTCCAACACTCACACCAATTAGCCTAGCCCCGAAGTAAGCACAGTAGGCTTGTGTTATGGGATACTAGGGTAGGGTTGCCAACCCTACTATATAATTCTTTATTCTTTATTGCATGCCACAGATAGTACAAAAACAACAATATTATAAGTTGTATGTGACACCCTGCAAGTGCGTTGCAATTTTACTTTAATTATTATTATTATTTAAATAAACTATAAAATATATTATAAAAAAATCTATTCAATTATTATATATGTATCTTACCAAAATTAAAATTTAAAAAAAAACATATATTTTATAATTTAAAAACTATAGATATTATACAATTACATATACAATTTTCACACTCAGAATTTTTAATATAATATAGAGGTATGTCATGAAATTTAATAAGTTTTATTATTAATATAGTATCCTATTATATTAGGGGATCAAATACTATATTTCAAAAAAATATATATAGTAGGCGAAACTACTATATTTTGCTTACAGCAGATTTTTGCTAGTAAAAGCGTTCTTTAGAAATCAACAAAAATAATGATTAAATTATGGAAGAAAAAAAATATATTCAATTTAAAAATAACGTAGAAAATTTAATCACATACTATATATTTTTCCCTGTTTTTGCCATCTACATTATTTTCAGAGGTAATAACTTCGAAATTACTATATTTGATAGAATAAAAGTCGGTAACCCTATAACTAGGGTAACGGATAGAACACATATATAAGTATGAAAATACATGTTAAAAATCCATGACTGGAGTAAAAATGCTCGCAATCATCACACAAACATCTGCCCCCACCGGGATTCGCACCCAGGATCTCTCGAGTAGGCGATACCACGGTAATATTATCTATACAGTATTGTGACTCCGCCCTGTCCTTAAAAATAAATGCCTACGACCGAGCGCTGCGTTGGTACGCGGTAGGGCCGCCAGCCTACAGTATTTTATGTAGTTTTGTTTTTAACGCGACGGCGAGTGTAGGTAGATTACTCGTTTGTCTCTTTTTTCATCCTAACCACTTATTTATATATTATTCCAGATATTTTGCCCGATGGAAAATCCGAAATACCTAAATATTAGAAACAAATAACGTACTAGTAGATAGGATTGAAAAATATTCTATAAAGGTAAGACACCTTTCCAATATTTCAGGTAATTTAAAAAATGATATCTCTGGGTGTGTTATTGAAGAGTTCAAGCAACCAAAAATTGCAAAAGCAATTGTGCTGTTGTACTGGTATTGATCGTCGTTTGTTCTTTTCCATACTAAATTATGTAGTTATCTACATAATTAAATCAAATATTTACAATACAAAACGCACGTTTAAGCACGGCTAACTGCATAAAAAACAATTCAGACCGTTCGGTCGTCGTTGCGGCGCGGCGGCGCATTCGCGACTGGGTGCCCGCCGAGAGTGCCTCGAACTCGAGTGGCGTAGGTATGACTTGCTTTCCGACCGTTTGTATGAAGATAGAATACTGAATGATATTATTACCGTGGCGATACCATGAAAGCCGGCGTACAAACCACTCGGCCACGGAGGTCGTCTTTGGAACTAAAATGCGCTAAAATTAGCGTTCGTATTTGTTTCGAATTAAGAGCTCTTCTTCTTTAGATGCATATACAAATATTTCATTTTCCACAACCTCTATTGGCGTGTCAAATTATCGCCACTCAAGCTATCGTCTAGTGTCTATAGACACGCAGCCCGTTAATAGGGGTGATGACGGGGTACAGTAAACATAATTCTATTTAGTCCGTCAGTTAGATGATCAAAAAATAATTGACACTTATTTTTTCTTTGGACAATCAACCAAAAAATGACAAAGTTAGAGCGCGTCAAAGTTTGGGAGTAGGGGCTCGTGACGTCACTTTTGAGTGAATTTTCACTTATAAGTGTACTCAAACGTGACGTCATGCGACTTTTCAAATCAATATATCTCTGCAATTTTTATATTATGTGAAAAAAGAAAAAATACATGTCCAATACTTTTTGATAATCTACCTGCTAAACGAAGAAAAAAAAAATAGTCATCATCCCTATTCATTACGACAACTAATTCAAACGAACGCATTTTTTTTAGGTCGTCATAGCTTGTCCAAAACTTGGTTCTGTTTGCGTCGTTGCTCATGGCTATGAGCGCTGATAGCTTCGATTGTTTGATGTCGGATCGTTTGATTGGCTATTATCTATTAGGTGGAAGTGTAGTGGGGGCGAGCCGGCGACATCGGTTCTAGTACAAACAGTCTATAATCACCATTCTAACCTCTTTCTGTGTTTTGTGGTAGCTACTCGTATAAAAAATAAGTCTATGAACAACTTCTTTTTGTTAATGTTTTTATTTATTTTTAAGCATTTAACTGCTAGATGTTTAAATCTAAAGAAAAGTTTACTAGAAAAAAATCCACGGGGACCAGGCAGCGGACGGGACTCGAACCCGCACCCTTCGCAATCCGGGCGAATGCACTGACCATTATGCTACCACGGCCCTATTGGCCGCGTCGAAATTTTCCTACCCTTAAGCTGCAAGGCAGCGCCATCTCTTCGCATTGTAGGTAACCCACATTCTTTTTGTTTTCCAGCTCCACTGGGAGCAAATTGGAAAATATCATCATTAACGTCAGCCTATTAATGTCGCCACTGCTGGGGCACAGGCCTTCCCTATGGATGTTATAGGAAGATTGGGCCATGGCCCAACACGCGGGCCCAGTGAAGATTGGCGGGTGCTAACTGCAGATGCAGCCGAGACCAACGGTTTAAGGCGCCTTCCGAAGCACGGAGAAACTCGAGATAGAAGATTTTTGGTCACCCATCCAATGACCGACCACTGCGAAAGTTTGCTTAACTTCATTGATCGCAGCCAAACGCGCTAACCACCTGTGCCATGGAGCTCCTCATAAATAACCTGATGATTTGAATATTAAAATCTTTTCATTTCATATTGTCGACATCACGATCTTGCATGTCGAGCCCATTATAAATAATAAGTGGTAAGTTAAATGCAGGTTTGACTTTGATTACGAGGTGTTTACATTGTAAGTGAGTACCGTAGGTTCTATGCTAATTTATGCATTATCCTTGACCATATTATTGACATAATCTTTACGCTTAGAGTTAATGACTCTCGCCAAACTGGTTAGTATAAACCTAAACAAAACTGCTATGTACGTAGTATCTAATATTATAAATGCGAGCTTGTGTCTGTCTGTCTTTCGGTCTGTCAGCACCTATTCAATATCCGTGCTCTTCACGCTTAAACAGCTGAATCAATAGTTTGAGTACTGGGAAAGGACATAGTTAGGATAACAGATCACAGAAAGAGGTTATATACCGTTTCCACGGGAACCGATGTCGCCGGCTCGCTCCCACTACATTTCCTCCTAATAGATAATAGCCAATCAAACGACGCGACATCAAACGATCGAACCAATCAGCATTCACACCCGAGAGCAACGACGCAATCAGAACCAGGGACGAAGAAGGGGATGTATAAGTATGTATGGGAAACTATTTTTTCTACGCAAACGAAGTCGCAGGCACCCACTAGTTAACTCTATTTTTTTCAGCTTGGGCTTGCTAAGCAGCGTTTTGTTTGTTCTCCACTTCATAATCCTACCTTATATGCCTAATTTTGTGTTAGGTTATTGAGAAATTAAAAATTGAGGCGATCGATGGTGCAAGTGGTTAGCGCGTTCGGCTGCGATCGTTGAAGCTAACCAACTTTGGACGGGTGACTAAAAAGGACAATGGCGAACTCCCATAGAAATTTTTGTTGAATTTTTTTTTTGCGTCTATAAATGAATTTCATGTTAAATTATAGAGTTTAGATTCTTGATTTTATTCCTCTTAATTCTTTTATTATAGGAAGTCGGAATTTATAAATATTCTACTTTGAAGTTTTGGAGGTTATTGTCATCCCAAGTAATATAAAAATGAATTATAAAAGTATTTTCAAGAGTATTTTTATATCAAAATAAAAATACGTGGAACGGAACTATGGAAATGTACCGGTCCCGTAGATTAGTGACGAAAAAAACTGTTTTTTATAATGTATGATCAGTGGGCGTAGGTACTAACCAACCGCGTCAAAATCTATACTTATAATAAATCTGTAGAGATGTCAATTCTGTACATGAAATATATTTTTAAAATAACTATCAGGGGGTGATTAGTGATCGATATTGATGCCAAAAATGCAATCAGTAAAATTTTTGTCTGTCTGTCTGTATGTTCCTTATAGAAACAAAAACTACTCAACGGATTTTAACGAAACTTGGTACAATTATTCTTCATACTCCTGGGCAGTTTATAGTATACTTTTCATTACGCTACAGTCAATAGCAGCAGAGTAGTGAAGGGAAATGTTGGGAAAACGGGAGAAGTTACTCCATTTTTTAAGCTTCCGTCGCGGGTGCAGCCTTAATGGTTAAAGTTACATAGAAATAATGTATGACGGAAATATTCTACATAAAATTGTCTAAAAAATATCCCGCAACAGCATATGTCTATCTTTTATGGTTGACTCACAATAACACGTGTAATTATATAAATAAAGTCATTCTTTATAGCACAAGCCTGAGAACAAAAACTATAGTTTACACTACAGCTCTACACCGAAGCGAAGCGAGGGCGGGCCATTAGTACTTAATAATACTTAACAGACAAGGATTATTGAGTTCGAATACAATGTCTGTGCTGTAAGAAGCACTTAACAATATAAAAATGCCCACAGCAATAATGAAGTATAAAAAAGGGTTTCTAGTAGTGTACTAATGGGATATTAATTAAATATTAAAAACTTTTTATATATTTTTTATTCCACATCTTTGATCACAATATCGTAGATAGTAGATACAATGAAATAAAATCCACAGTATGGGACAGAATCGTGTCCAAAATCCACAACAAGAAGTCGTCCAAAATATCAAATTCGGAAGTCTTAGGCAAGCACTATTCAACAGTCGCAGGGAAAGATTTCGAAAGTCCAAATGCAGTCCAAGTCACATAAAAAATAAATCTTTGCAATACGCAAGCACTTATGCACAAGCAACGATTTTTTTTTTTGTTTCTGTGGCGTTCTCCGTTTTACACAGAAATTTCGCCAATGTCCAGTAGTGAGAGCGACACGAGAAAGACTGCTCGGTAGAAACAGATTAAGGTGATATAAATTAAATAACCGATTATACGTTCTTCCTTGAGTATTTCACTTTTCTGAAAGCACAACACAACAAACATACACAAACACGTCACAGGTTAAACAATATTAATTTATATGACATGAGTAGAGCAGACAATTATTTCCAAATAAAAATAGAAAGGTTAATAAAAGTTAGAGTTTGAATTTTGTATTTTTTTATAAATTTACATAAACACAAAAAGCCAGGTTTGTCGGTCAATGTTAGAATTGTATTAATGTTAACGGGACGTACAGTTTTGGGTGGAAGTAGAGAACATAGAGATCAGTGTTTCCACAATGAGGGGAAATTCCCCTTTTAAGGGGAAATTCCCCTTTTAAGGGGAAATTAGGGTCCAGAGGGGAAGAAAAAGGGGAAAGATATGAAAGAAGAAGAAAGGGAAATTGCGGGAAATTATGGGTAAAGCTTAGCCTAAAATAATGCGGCACGGAACAAAATTTTTATGGACTATACCGTGGACTAGAGTATTGCCGTATAAAAGAAACTGTGTCAACAGATACAGATTTTATATATTTTATTTATCTGTTACAGAATAAGATAGATTAAGACCTTTTTTTTCTTTAGTTACTACACTAGTGCCAAATCTAAAAACTACAGCAGAATGATTTTTGAGGGGAAAAATGTCCTAAGTAGGGGAAATCTGAATTGAGGCATTGGGAAAGGAAATCATTAAAGTGGAAACACTGATAGAGATGGGTGTTTTTGACAGTTGAAAAAAATGTGATCTACAGTAAGTCTACAGTGCCTTCCTCGAGTCCGCACTCACAAATGGAGTTGGCTAGTATTCGTAATTTGGAAAGAAAGATTGGCGAGGTAACGTGGCCGAGACGAAGACGGCTAATAGTTGTAATGACCCGCCTGGGAAAGTCGCGAAATTTAGCAAACCAAGGTTTTCTGGGTATTATTTCCTATATTTTATTATAGCAATAACAACAATTCGATGACAAGCATGACAGTGACAGTTATAGTTTTTTGCGTTAGAATTGGCGCCATACTCTTTTTGTATTGTGAAGATTATTTATTATGGTTTCATTAAATATGAAATGAAAAAAAAAAAGTTACCCGATATTTTTGATGGATAATTAAATACAGTTTAAGCGTAAAGCGATGCAAATCAAATCCTATAGAAAAGATGAAACGGAAATGCGTCACAAGCGTCACACGACTATATATGTGTGTGTGTGTGTGTGTGTGTGTGTGGGATGCGTGCGCAGCTCTTCCCTACGAGCATGAAAGTTAAGTACCTAACTCGGCGAACGCTACGAGCGTCACACGCGACAATATATTTAAATACATTTAAATGAAAATATGACTGGAAAAAATTCCATGTGGAATTTGGTCAGTGCATCCGCCTAGATAGCGAAGGGTGCGGGTTCGAGTCCCGTCTGCTGCCTGGTCCGCGTGGAATTTTTTATAGTTATATTTCCTTAAGATTTAAACATCAAGCAGTTACATGCATAAAAAATGAAAATTATAACATTTAAATGAGTGATGAGTGCGCTGCTCCAATTCCTTATGCCTTATGCATCGACTAATGCAGTGTTTCCTAACCTTTCCAATACTGCTACCCCTGTAACCTATTAGGAAAACAGATTTTACCCCAACTTCAAATGTTATCATCAGTCCAAGAAATTCCAATTTGGTCACTACATCTGCGTCTAATAATGTCATCATCAGGAGAAAATCTCGCCTCGCTTTCCAAACTCAGCACCCCGCGGGCTCGCTAGCAAGAAGGAGCTCATGCTCTATTTAGTAGTATTATTATATAGTATTTTCTTATTATTTAGATTTTACCAAATAATTAGGTTCTTTGTTACCCCCGAAGTATGGCTGATTTACCCCCGCAGGGTTAATTACCCCCAGGTTCGGAACCCAGGGTCTAATGTTAGTTTATTTAAGAAGAGAAGTTTCACTTCAGATTTGTGGTCCGTGCACAGAAATTTTATCATTTTATTTCTAATTCCTTGCCTGTGTCCCAGAGAGGACGTTGGTAGGCTGATGACGATGATGGTACATACCAGCACAGCCAGGTTAGGTACGATGAGCGTAGCATTCAAGTCAACGGAGTTGAGGTGCGGCAGAAAGATGGGGGACCGCTTAGCCAGATACGTCATTGTGCTGTTCTCGTTAAAGTTGATTCTCGAGTGCACCAGTTTCTCTCTGGAAAAGAAAAAAAAATGTTTTTGAAGTGAACAATTCTTTAGCACCGTTGTGATTTGAAACTCGATGAAACGAAAATTTAACAGTATTTGACACAAGGTATTCGTAATTTTAATCGGTGGTTCGATTCTCAAGTCGGTTATATCTTTAATTGATTTTTTTATTAGGCTATAATTTTGATGTTTCGAAACAATATAAGTATAGAATTCAATTTTGCCCAGTATTTTACAATACCTGGGGGCCATTCGCCTAACAGGATTGCTTAGGAAAACGCTTTCGCTTACGATTTCATTCTGTTAATTCTGACCACCGGAGGTTTTCAAATACCTCAAACACATTTTCTTTAATATTGTTATTACCAATACAAAAGAAAAAAAAGAGCGCGAGGCATTTGAAAACCTCAGGCGGCTAGAAATAATAAAAGGAAATCGTCGTCGATAGCGTTTTCCAAAGCAATCCCGTAAGGCGAATGGGCCTCTGAATAGTTAATTATTAAACGTCTGGTAGGTGTCTAAGTTATTTATTAAACAGACTTGGTTTTTATCAACAATCCTTACCTTTCCAATGTTTGCAATTGTTTAACAAGATTTTTTTATAAATACTTGTTTCGAAAAAACCTTAGGTAAGAAAAACATAACAAAAAAAATTAAATAAAAATAGCTGGTAAGAATTAAAGCCGCGGGCGGCTGAAGGACTTTTAAGTGTTCTAATTTTAGCATATTTTTGTAAGTTTCACTTCTATCGCATGAGAACAGCGCATGCCCGGTTTTTTTACTGTGGAAATACCTGCTATATTTTGTTACACTCATAAACAACTAAACAATATACGGAATCGTAAAGGCTGATTTACGCCGCGGCAACACTGTGCGTCATTGCGGCATGCCACAAGGCCGCTCGCTGCAATAATTAAAATGTCGCACATTGTAGCAGGAATCGTGCGGCATGGCAACACAAAACATAGGTAACTTACAAACTGTTTTGTCCCACCAAAAATTTTGCAGGTAATCCACAGTGTTCGGATTAGAGCATGCTCTAAGATTCACATATTATGTGGCATATATTTTAACATTATTCCGACGACGCATTCCCGCAAAGGATGCGAAACGTCAATAAATAATTAAAATCTGTGCATCTAACCCGATGAAACTTGTTTTCTTTAATGAGTGATGTGCGTGAAAACCTAAGAAAGAAATATACAAAATATACATACTTTGCCACATATCATGTAACATGTCGCATTTGTAACATCAGCAAAAGTAACAACGTCTATGTCTTGTACTGAATTGTATATTAACAGGATCAAGTCACATTTACAAATTATTAATAAGATTGGTCCCAATATTGAACCTTGTGGAACACCTCTAATAGGCCCGTTAATAGGGGTGATGACGGGGTACAGTAAACGAAATTCTAATTAGTCTGACAGTTAGATGATCAAAAAATAATGGACACGTATTCTTTCTTTGGGCAATCAACCAAAAAATGACAAAGTTATAGCGCGTCAAAGTTTGGGAGTAGGGGCTCGTGACGTCACTTTTGAGTGAAAATTGTACCAAAACGTGACGCCATGCGACTTTTCAAATCAATATATCAGCAATGTTTATATTATGTGAAAAAAGAAAAAATACGTGTGCAATACTTTTTGATAATCTACCTGATAAACGAAGAAAAAAATTTTCATCATCCCTATTTTAGTTAATTTTGATTTTAATATTTTTTCAACATTGTTGTACTTTTGGGTATTCTAAAACGTGCTTAGGCCGACGGAATCGGAGGGAACAAAGGATAGTGACGCCTCTGGACGACGATCTAGCAGAGGTCTTTGGAAGCCGGTGGATGCCAGTGGGTCCCAGGACTGATCAGTGTGGAGATGCATGAGGATGGCCACAGACATATATCTAAATAGATACCGCAAATTTGTTGTATGCGTTTCGCGTGCCAAAAACATGCCAAAAGGGTGACCAATGGTGGTCCTTCATTAACGCAATTTTATTTATATTATTTTATTACTAGCAGTCGCCCGCGATTTCGTCCGCGATAACTTTTAGTTTTTTTTTTCAAAAAATACAAGATTTTTTCTAATATAAAAGTAACCTAAGTTACTCCTTATTACATCAGCTATCTGCCGATAAAAGTTCCGTCAAAATCGGTCCAGCCATTTCAGAGATTAGCCGGAACAAACAGACAGACAGACAGACAGACAAAAAATGATATTTTGGTGTATGTACCGTATATATATTCATATGTATGTAGTAAAAAGCGGTTATTTCAATATTACAAACAGACACTCGCAATTTTATTTAAATGTATAGATCTATAGAAGATGTATAGATTATCTACATTGGACGTCTAACGCAATTTAAAAAGTTGTCCTGTGCCAAATCGAGCTTGAAAAATGATAGAATTGAAACGGATTGACACCGCCATCTTATATGTTCTCGAAATATGACACCCTCGGTTTTCACACTATTCAATCCAATTTATTTGCATTCCAAAATGTTACAATGTTGGTAGGTATTTAAATAGAGATAAAAATTTGGACCCTGTTCGGTTAAGCATAGCAAAGTCACAGAACGAGAGGATAACGCATCTTTTGATGAGTTGAGTTGAACACTTTATTTCTTGTGTCATAATCAAAATCATTTATTCAGTTTAGGCTGTTACAAGCCCTCAATGTCTAGAAGCAACGTCATCGTTTCGTAAATCTACGGCGGGAGACCTTGTACTAAGAAGAGCCATTAAGATACTCAGCAAGGGCTGTTATTTTCTCCCTGTTTTATAATTGAGAAAATCAAAATTTTAAGTCAAAAATCATTTATTCCCTCTAGTCTGTTACAAGCACTTGTGAAGGTCAAGAAGCCACGCCATCGGTTCGCAAAATTACGGCGGGAGACCTTGTACTGAGAAGAACCGGCAAGAAACTTAGCAAGGACTGTTTTTTTCTCCTTATATTATCATTTGCAGAGTCGTCAAGTTATAATAAATTTTATAAAAATATATAATAAATATTTCCAACACACACCCCAATTAGCCTAGCCCCAAAGTAAGCACTATAAGGCTTGTGTTATGGGATACTAGGGTAACGGATAGAATACATATATTGGCAAATATATAAGTATATTTATATAGAAATACATATTAAACATCCATGACTGGGGTACAAATGCACGTATTCATCACACAAACATCTGCCCCCACCGGGATTCGAACCCGGGACCTCTCGAGTCGGCCACACCATGAAACCCGGCGTACAAACCACTCGACCACGGAGGTCGTCAGTTGAAAAATGACTTCAGAGATGATGTTGACTTACAAGTAAACTATTGGTCCTATTTCGTGTACGTCCATCTTCTCATCCAGGCCAGCCAGAAACCGCACGTGGTTGGTCACATTGAATACGTACACCCTGAGCTTCACCTCGTCTGGGGGGTCCGCCCACCACTCGTAGGGCGGGAAACCTGATATAAATAAAAAATACGATGCAAATGAATCTTTTAATTAATATCTGATATAAAAATTTAACTAAAGAACAAATAGTAAGATTTTTCATATAAGACAAAAACCTTAAAATATATAATAACCAAAATACATTATTAAAAGGAGTCCCTTTAGGCAAGGTTCCAAAGATACTGGCAGCGTTCGCCCTTTGAATAGGTAGACTAATTCTTTGTCCGAGGTAGCTGCCAGCTCTTCGGTCTCCTGTGATGTCGACCAGCCTTTTTGCTATTTCCTTAAAAAGCCTTACAGCGCTAGGACCCCACGGACCAAGGGTCTCGACACCGAATGGGGCAAAATCATATTCGGAGCCTAGACCCCTGTATTTCGCAAGCCGCACCAGTTCTGTTGTTGGTTCCATGTAGATGGAAGGGGGCCAGCGTGTCTGAACAGGTTGCATCCCATACTAGCACCCGGCCCACTTTCCATGGAATCAAACTCATACCGTCAGGTCTTTTGCCATAGTCTCTTGCAATACCAGTCGGCTCAAAAATTATAATTAATTACTTGATTTTTTTTAATTAAATTATTTACTTGATATTACTCTCCCCGGTTTATAAAAAGTGTAAAATAAAAAAAAACCTCGACTGGGATATAACCCGGGCCGCTGGCTTAGCAGCCGAGTCGCTGATGGCGCGGGTTAGCTCGTTCGACTGCGATCGTTGAAGTTAGGCAACTTTCGCAGTGGTCAGTCATTGGATGGCTGACTAAAAATCTTCCGTCTCCAGTTCCTCAGTGCTTCGGAAGGCACGTTAAGCCGTTGGTCCCGGCTGCATCTGCAGTCGTTAGCACTCGCTTATCCGCACTGGGCCTTATTCAGACCCGTCTTTCCCAGTGGGCACTTTGGGCAAAAGCCCAGGGCCCCGCGATCGATAGGGGGCACCCTCAGATCAAATACAAAGTCCCTAGTTCCTGTTAAATCACCAAACAGAAGTCATAGGGGCCCCATTATCCTTATATGCCCAGGGCCTCCAATAGGTCAAAGACGGCACTGGCCTTAGTGGTGGGTCATGGCCCAATCTCCCTATTCCATCCATACGAAAGCCTGTGCCCCAGCAGTGGGGACTTTAATAGGCTGATGATAATGCTTGTTTGCAACACTTCAAACATAAAAAAACACACAGCTCTGTGTGTCAGCTTAAAAACTTTTGTAAGTTTAAAATAACAAAACGAACAGTGCAAGTTTAAATTATATGACAATGATGTTGTCTTAAATTTGAATGCAATTTGCAACTATCTACGTAATAGATTTGTCCTTGACATACCTAACTATGTAATATGGTGACTTTGAACTTGAATATATCGTAAATACCGCCGGAACAGATTGCATAAAGGGGGGGCGCGTCAGTGGTAATAAAACACAAGCGGCAGCGTTTTGAACCACAGAACACAGAAACGAAAAACAAACAAAACGCTGCTTAACAAGCCTAAGCTGAGAAAAATATAGTTAACTAGTGGGTGTCTGCGATTTCTTCTGCGTAGAAAAAAGAATTGCTAATATAAACTTATACATCCCCTTTTTCATCACCTTTAAGGTTGATTTCTAAAACTGTCCTAACCACAGAACTAGTCTTGTGTAGTTCGCGAACGAACTAGATCAAAAGAGCGCTCCCACAGATGAACTACGCGAACTAGTTCCCTCATTCCCCGTTCCATAGTTCATTACTTCGTGACCGAATGAGCGAGTGGCGTTAACCGAACGTATGTCATTATGAATGGCCGCTAGCTCACTGCACCTGCGCGTCTCGTCACTGTGTCATGTGTAACAGAATAAGTATAAGTTACCAACAATTACTTATACATACATATTCGAAAAAAGCGAAAATTATAGAAAGATATTTTTGCTGTTCTAAAAGTATAAAATATGTAGGTATAAGTACAGCATTCCGTAATCCTATCACATGCAGCCAGAGCAGTATCAAAACGAGCGAACGACCCTTTCACTGACTCGAGCTGGGAGCTGACGAACTAGAAGAGCGAACTAGTTCGTTTAGGGGCGGTGAACTAAACTGAGCGATCTTAGTTGCGAACTACTATGCCCAAGACTACACAGAAAACAGAAAGAGGTTAGAAGGACCTTGTGGGTGGGGCAGCCACGCCACGGTTATATTTGAGTAAATGCTTACAATTATGTTTTTATTATTTTAAGCATTTAACTGCTAGATGTTTAAATCTAAAGAAAAGTTTTGCTAGAAAAAAGTAAGTAAAAGTTTCTTTAGATTTAAACATCTAGCAGTTAAATGCTTAAAAAAATAATAACATAACTATAATTGCTATTTCTTCTTTCAAATGTTTAATACTTGAAAAAGTATTCATTTGACATTGTGGGTTGCCTGCAGTGCGAGGAGATGGCGCTGCCTTGCAGCGGCTAGGAAAATTTCGACGCGGCCATCAGGGCCGTGGTAGCATAGTTGGTCAATGCATTCGCCCGGATTGCGAAGGGTGCGGGTTCGTGTCCCGTCCGCTACCTGGTCCGCGTGGTTTTTTTTTCTAGTAAAATTTTACTTTAGATTTAAATGCTTATAACTTGACTAAAACTTGGTTCTGTTTGCGTCATTGCTTTCGGGTGTGAGCCCTGATTGGTTCGATTGTTTCATGTCGCGTCGTGTGCTTGGCTATTATCTATTAGGTGGTAGGTAGTGTAGTGGGGGCGAACCGGTGACATCGGTTCCCGTACAAACGGTCTCTGATCACCTTTGTAACCTCTTTCTGTGTTCTGTATTTGAACTAAATAAATAATATTGTATCATCTCTTCTTGGTTATTACGTCTAGATTAGACGTTGACGGTAGAAGGGGGAAGGCGGAAACTGAGAATTAGATTTGCTTTGGCATTAAAGGGTTTCGTAGCATCCTTGTTGTACATAATTTGGATTTTAATTAACATTTACTCACATGAAATAAAAGATGAGGGAAATAAGTAGGAACAGGCCATTATCGATGCCGTCATATTCAACATCAGCCTATTAAACGCGCTAACCATCCGTGCCATCGAGCTCCTCAATATTAATTTAATAAAATATTTTGATATTTCAAGAAAAAAATAACTCGACAAAGATTAAATGAACTCATATAATTACGTATACTAAGAATCAATATAAATATACAATACAATACAAAACACTTTATTGTACACCACAGATAACATAACATTTAGTACATAACTATTTAAAACTAGTGTAACAATGGGCGGCCTTATCGCTGAGAGCGATCTCTTCCAGACAACCCTATATTTAATATAATAGAAACCTAATTTAATATCTAACTTTAAAAAAGTAAGTGTTTTCAATATGGTGCTATTTTATTTTATTTTATTTTTCTATATTAGCACACCCCCTCTTTTATTAAATTTCGTCTGTTCATCCTATAGTGCTCTGCGCCCCCCACGAACTAGAGCCGAGGTCCGAGTTTAAGAGATGCCCTCTAGTTGAGCCGACACCCTCAGGTTCGAGTGGTTTAGAGGCTCCAAACGGAGAGGAGACTCCCCCCGTGGGAAGATGCCATCCGCCTGGAATACCCCAGGGGCACTCGTCGATTCTCGCCTTGAGGTCCCCTTAGGATCTCGCCGTCCCCAAACCCGTTGACGCTGTAAAGGTCATCTGCGACCAACAGCATACACACTCAAAAAAAATGGTTGTCTGGAAGAAAATTCTATATAGCGATAAGACCGACAATTGTTCACTATTTTAAGTTTTTTCCTAGTGTGTAATATTTTATGTGGTGTGCACAATAAATTGTTATCTATCTATCTATGGTGCTATTTTGCAAATCGCTAACGCTTACGATTTGGCCACCACCGGATGTTCCAAGGCTTGCAGATTATTGTTTGTCCGCCATTACCTTACAAGTCAAATTTAGTTTACGTTGTTTGTAGGTCATTGTTTGAATCGGAATTGTTTGTTTTACGACACGTTCAAAGTGGTTAAAATGACGTTAAATTTAACTAAAGCGGGATACTTAACTGAGATCAGATTTAAACAACTTTCTGTTTTAAAAACTGTTGTGGTTGGTAGTGGTACCTATGCTATGTTCGTAAGTAACTGAGGTTTTCACACACACCACTCATAAAATAAAACAAGTTTCAACGCTGTAGATAAAATGATTTATTTATTTATGACGTTTCGCATTCTTTTCAGGCTGTGTCGTCAGAATTAACTCGACGACGCAGCCTGAAAATAAAATATGTTTATTCTCTTTACCCTAATCTGTTATTATCTAATCACATTGTTGGTGCACTCCTTTTAAGTATAGAGATACCTGAAGCAGGAGGCACCGCTCTTCCATCACCGTTACAAGGTTGAGCTTAAAGATGAATTTACATCGAACTAAAACGAAAGTTATGGGGGGTGTTTGTGTGTGTGTATGTGCGTGTGTGTGTGTGTGATGCACTTTGTGTGTGTATATGAATGAGGAGTAAGTATGTTATTGTGTATATGTAAATGTTTCCATGCCGTAGAGAGTGGTTCTATATGTAGTAGAAATATAGGAAACATGGTAGAACGGGATGCGAAACTTCATAAATAAATAAATCATTGCATCTATACCGGTGAAACTTGTTTTATTTAATGAGTGGTGTGCGTGTGAACCTCAGTAACTTACTGATTTTTATGTTGTTTTGTGTACTTTATTACACCGCCGTCTCTCCAGCTTCTTTCTTGTCCTCTCCATCTTAAGGTTGTCTCTTAGCGATAAGACCGCTCATTATTAAATTGTATTCTTTACTTATGTACATTATGTTTTATATTTTCTGTGGTATAAAAATAAAGAGTTTTTATATTGTACTAGCGGCCCGCCTTCGCTTCGCTTCGGTGTAGAGCTGAATTGTAGATTACAGTTTTTGTTCTCAGGTTTGTATTATACAAAATGACATTCATCTATGATTCTTCTTATACCTGCATGCAAATTCTCAGCCTGATCGGTTTAAAATTGACAAAGTTTCATACAAACTTTCATTCCCTATTTTATCCCTTTGGGGGTAGAATTGATCAAAATCCTTTCTTAGCGGATGTCTACGTCATAACATCTACCTGCATGCCAAAGTTCAGCCCGATCCGTCCAGTGCTTTGGGCTGTACGTTGATAGATCACTATGTCAGTCAGTCAGTCACCTTTGAGTTTTAATATTATTATAGAAGATTGTACAGTATCAGTGCATCTACACCGTTGAAACTTGTTTTATTTAAAGTAACTTAATTTTTAATACTCTGTAAGTACCTACCGTGTATTATGTGGTATTTGAAAAACCTTAGGCGGTAAGGCATAACAAAATGAAATCGTAAGCTTTAGCAAGCCCGTTAGGCGATTGGATCCTGGACTGGATGGATTATGATTACAGAATTTATTTCTGTGATGATGATGATGTACCTGGTCTCATATTGAGTTTCTCCCGCAGCATGAGGTCTTGAGGAGTGAAGAGGAAGCCGCCAATTGATATAGCCAGCAATAGTATACCCCACACACACTGACTAACTGTATCTGTAACAAAAGGACATTACATATTACTATAAATTGCGAAGACTGCCAGACCTGTCATATTTTCTCATGGACAAAATATAGTCGAGTGGTAACGTATCATCACCAGCCTATTAATGTCCCCACTGCTAGGGCACAGGCCTTCTCTATGGAGGGAATAGGGAGATTGGGTCATGACCCACCACGCGGGCCCAGTGCGGATTAGCGGGTACTAACGACTGCAGATGCAGCCGGGACCAACGGCTTAACGTGCCTGCAATAGATGTCGCTAAGTGCGCTTAAACAAGATTCATGTAAGTTGATTTTTCTGAGAGATAAACTTTATTAATGTAGTATAAATTGTCATGTTGGTGTACGATAGCGCAATAAATAAATATTGTATTCTTCCACATACATGATAGTACTTTTATACTGATAATTAAAGCAATTCGTGCAAAATTATTAACCATTCCAAAATATCAAAAATGCACAACGTTAATATTCAAGTTTTCACTTCTGCCGGCACTCCCGGAGTGCAACCCGGCGTTTTTTTTAATCCATAAGTTATGATTTTATTTATTTTTTAAGCATTTAACTGCTAGATGTTTAAATCTAAAGAAAAGTCTACTAGAAAAAAATCCACGCGGACCAGGCAGCGGACGGGACTCGAACCCGCATCCTTCGCTATCCTAACTATAATTGCTATTTCTTCTTTCAAATGTTTAATACTTGAAAAAGTATTCATTTGACATTGTGGGTTACCTACAATGCGAGGAGATGGCGCTGCCTTGCAGCTTAAGGCTAGGAAAATTTCGACGCGGCTAATAGGGCCATGGTAGCATAATGGTCAGTGCATTCGCCCGGATAGCGAAGGATGCGGGTTCGAGTCCCGTCCGCTGCCTGGTCCGCGTGGATTTTTTTCTAATAGACTTTTCTTTAAATCCATAAGATTGTATGATTTAAGTTATTATTAAACAAGCTTTCAAATAACATGTTTCGCCGCTGCCAGAAACCGACTACCACTTGTGAACCATTTTTTTTCAACTCGTTACCACGCGGATTTTTGTCATTTTTTTTGAGGTACAGAACCCTAAAAAGACTTAGTTTTTTTGTTTAATAAATTATATTAATCAGTTGAAAAACTCAACTTGATGATATGCTGTCTGTACCTTCATTAAGAACGAATTATGCTGCAGTGAAAAAAAAATTACACAGAGTACTTAATTAATTAGTTACCACAAAAAATCACAATGGGATAATACCATGGGTTATTGCGACACTCTGGCGGTTAGGTATTATTGTAACTTAGTATGTCATTTATCATAGCCATTATAAAGAGTAACTTTAACACATTTTTAGAGTTCTGGAGTCAACAACCCTTGACGTTGAGTCGCTAGTCGTCGTCCTTCCACAGCTCAGGAGCTCTACTCTCTTTCTCCGAAACGAAATTTCGGCAACGAACGAATTTTAAACGAAATTTCGCCAGTGACTCTACTCTATTTCATCTTCGAACACACACATAATGTTCGGAATCACAGACAATTATCGTGAACGAATGGAATGAGTTATGTTTTTGAGTTATTTTTGTCTACACTTTTTAGATAACGTTTTTTACTTCAAAACAATATTACTTTATGACAAAATTTTTGATTACATTAAAACAACCTCTGACAGTGTTAGTGTTAGAATTTCGAACAATCATCTGTCAAATTCAACTTTTAGTTCAAAAGATTTGTGAATTAGAATTTAAATGTTAAACTATTTTCGGACGAACGAATTTTCGAAATGAAATAGAAACACAGCAAGGAACGTGCGAAATTTCGATCGAAATTTCGTTTTTCGTTGAAATATAGTAGGCCTGCAGCTTAGCGGATTTCCGATCGAATTGGAGCGCCCGTCTGAGGAAGTGATTTTAAGTATCGTGTTTTAATTTCCTATTTAAAACTTAAATTCATTTTTTTTTAAAGGTTATGTACAAAGTTCCCCATACATTATCCCCGAATTCATTTTCATCGATTTTCCCATGGAAATAAGATATTTTCCAGCAGTAAAACGAAGCCTATGTGTTAATCCAGGGTGTCAGCTAACTCCACACCAAATTTTATTTAAATCGCTCCAACCGTTTAAACTTGAACAAGTAACAAACATACACTGTTAGGCCCGTATTATAGAATAACAACCAAGTGTTGATCTTTACAAGTGTTCACAACTTGAAGCAAGACAACTATCGTACCAGTAGCGTAGAATTATCGTACATAGAGCAAAATTATCGTATTTTTTAAATAATCACTATAATTAATAAATACCTTGCATTGAACATGATATCAATATTTTTACGTATGCTTCACAATTAATTGTTTGTAAACTATTTACAATCTTTTTTAACTATATTTTTACATATGAAACAGACCTGCACTACTCGCCCCTTAACTTGAAAATCCATATTGGCGGCAACATTTTAAACTCAACTTAAAAAATTACATGTCTCTTACTGCAGATCTTAATCCAGTAGACTAATATTTCGGAATTATAACAAAAAAAAATTGAGGGATAGTAGGTCAGTGATGAATATAATCAGGCTTTTTCATATTATCCTAATATATTCTATATATAAAGCAACGTAAAATGTGCGTACGATAATAATATGATATCGTACATCGTACGTAGGCATGAAATTATCTTATGTGTACCATAATTATCGTACGGTTCCGATCGCTGATCTTTACTTGAGTACAGTTAGAAAGGGATGTCGCTATGTGCTATATACTGTGAATCTTTCTTTAGTACGGACCTTACAATCTTTCGCCTTTATAATATTAGTGTAATCATTGAGCCAGTAAAGGATATTGTCCTCCCACTTTCTGTAAGCATGAAAGGGAAGGCCAGTCTGCCCTAACTATATGGCATAATGATGATATACTAAATGACGACCTCCATGGCCGAGTGGTTTGTACGCCGGGTTTTATTGTGTCGCCGACTCGAGAGGTCTCGGGTTCCAATCCCGGTGGGGGCAGATTTGTGTGCTAAATACGAGCATTTGTACTCCAGTCATGGATCTCAATATGTATTTCTATATAAATATACTTATATATGTACTGTATATGTATTCTATCCGTTACCCTAGTATCCCATAACACAAGCTTTACAGTGCTTATTTTGGGGCTAGGCTTATTGGTGTGAGTGTTGCAAATATTTATTTACTTAAAGTAATTCATAAAATTATCTATAAAAAAGGTAGCTATATTATTTTTCCGTAGAGCCACCATTCCTGAGATATAACGATTTAAAAATATATGTAAAATTCTCGTGTCACAATGTTACCATACTCCTCCGAAACGGCTTCACCGATTTTTATGAAATTTTATGTGCATATTCAGTAGGTCTGAGAAGAATCAAAATCATCAGAGAATCGGTTAGTATTTATTTTTCATACCCCTTAGTGATAAGGGTTAGATTTTGGACAAAATTTTTATTTTTTATATTTTATTATAATGTGGCATTAAAAATACATACAACCCTAAATTTTCACCCTTCTATCACCAACCCCTATTTTTACTGCGTTACGAAGTTCGCACGGTCAGCTAGTTTAAATAAATATTTTTTCCCATGTACCGGAATGATAGGGAATTTGATATTTTATTTTAAATAATGTTTATTACAGCTTTTACCCACTTCCAGCTTGATATAAAATTTATGTTCCTTTGAATGAGACCTAGATTGACCGGGCTATTGAGCAACCTTCGCAGTGGTCGGTCATTGGATGGATGACTAAAAATTTACCATCTCTCACCCCTCCGTGCTTCGGGAAGCACATTGAGCCATTGGTCTCGGCTGCATCTGCTGTCATTAGCACCCACCAATCCTCACTGGCCCCACGTCGGGGCCCAGTCTCTTTATTCCCTCCACAGGGAAGGCCTGTGCCCCAGCAGTGGGGACATCAATGGGCTGATAAATCATTGCTTAAAAATCCCCGATTTTTTGTTACTTACTTACTTATCTTCTATGAATCAGAATTGATCACATCTGCGTGAATAATAATGTTACGTTGTAGTATATTATTCGTGGATCGTCGACCTTCAGTTAAATTTAATGCGTTTTGTATGATCAGAGAATTTGAATGAGACAACGTATTTTTTGATGTCATTAAATTGTACTTATTAACAGTGGAAAAGCAAAACAGCTTTAACGCCACTTTAGTAACTTTACAGAAACGAGGATTGAAGTTTTTTTTTACAAAAAATCTACTACTTATATTTTTAGAGTTAACAGCTTTGAAAATACTATATTTGATAGAAAAAAAGTTGGTATTCCTAAGGCCGTATACAGAAAGAAAGCTGGAAGCTGACCAGCGCTTATGAGCGCTGGTCCCTACCGGTAACCGGCGCAGGCATTTCTATGGACCAGCGCCGATAAGCGCCGAACGTCGCCGACAAGTGCCGACAAGCGTTGGTCAACTCTTATAAAGAACTATAACTCTTACCAGTATGGACGGTAAGCGCTGGTCGGCTTCCAGCTTTCTTTCAGTATACGGTCCAATGTAGGGACACAGTATTGTCAACTAAGCATATACTGCACGTGTGGTGCGACTAGGGTTACCAGATTGAGAAATCAAAATTTCTGGACAATATTATAAAATATCTGGACATTAGGATTTTTGGCTGGATAAAAAAAATCAGCATGACTATAAAAAAATCTTATTATTACAAAACAGAGGAACCTTAATCAAACAAAATTAATATGAAATCACTTTTTCTGCCACATATATTTAGCATTTCCATTAGCCGCATTTATCATTTTAGAACCTTTATCTTTATTTAGAAAAGATTTAAATTTAGTACAAGTTTCGTCAAAGTTCCATCGAATTATTAAATTCAATCCCGGGCATAGATAGCAATAGCCAGTGTTCCCAACTTGGTGGAAAAACCACTAATACTGGTGGTTTTTATTAATTTTCAGCTTCATTTTAGCTGGACATTTTGCCTAAAACCGGGACACTGGACAACGTGTGAAATAGCTGGACAATC